TAAATTGTGCACACACATTAACATAATAGGAATACAGTTACATAACCAAAGCAGATCTATAATTACCAGCCATCTCCAGTGAAGCCAAGAAAACCAGTTAGGCACCCTAGGCATTTGTGAAAATTTGTCTATGATATAATGGATATGTACCTCTTTCTTAAGGTATGGTGTGATGTGTTTTATATTTTGAAACTGTAAGTATATTAATCAACAAAAAAACCTCATCTGTATTTATTCATCCATCATTCATTCGTTCAAGTAGTATTTATTGAACACCTACTATATTCAAGGTGCACTTCCAGGTGCTGGGGTTGCAACAGGGAGCAGAACATAGTCTTTGCTCTCCCGGGGCCTCTCCTCTGTTGGGAGGACGCACTCCGTATAACAGATAGATGAGTAAATAGACAGGGTGGCAGATGGTGATAAAGGCCATCACCACCTAGCGCGGCTTGAGCTGGGAGGGTGAGGGGCAAAGCAGGAGACGAAATCAAAGAGACGACTGGAAGTTAGGGGGGTTGCAGAGCATGAGGCTTTGTGTGTAGGTTGGATTTGAGCTTTTCTTTGGGGGACATGCAACAGCCAGTGGAAATTTTAAGAAGCAAGAGACATAATCTGATGTAGTTTCAAATGGATCACTCGGTAGTTCTGTTAAGAACACACCACAGGGCACAAGGGAGGAACTCGGAGATTAGCTGGGTGATTGCTGTAGAAGTCCTGGTGAAATCTGATGGTGTTGGCGCTGGGTGTAGTGGGAAGTAAGTGGTCAGATTCTAGATGTATTTTGAAGATGGCACGAACAGATTGGCTGTCAGACTGGACATGGGATACGAGAGGAGGAGAAGCAAAGGAGGTGGCCAAGACGGAGAAGACAGTTGGGGGAGTGGTGCTTGGGGTGGGAAGGAAGAGGTATTACTGGGGCCATTTTAAGTTTGAAGAGCCTGTTAGAGTAGCAAGTCAAGATGTGCAGTTGGCAGTGAATTCAAGGAAAGGGTTTGGATGAGAAGTCCAGGCTGAAGATACTAATATTGGCTTTGTCAGAATTTACATGGTATTTCCTGCCAGAGAGGAGATGAGGTCTATTTTGCAATGGCTCTCATCTGCTGGCCATTACAAGTGACTCGGGCTGGGGCACAGTCTTTCCGCCAGTCATTCCCTTGAATAGAATCGCTGCCCCCCTGGGGCACTCCTCTGGAGGCTGGAGGCAGCCTCTTATAATTCATTATTATTATTATTGTCCCCTCTTATTAAAGAGCTTAATCTTAGGGTGTCCTGGAGCCTAAACATCAGCCCCAACATACTCTTGTATTTTTCCCAGGAAGCCCTATGAAAATAAGGTTCCAGTCTAAGAGCCTTAAGTGAGGGTGATGACTAAGCTGTCCTTATACACCCTTGTCACAATTGCAGAACGTATTGGAACATCCACTCAATGGGAAGCTAGGTCCTCAATGCACGTATGTTGATTGAACATAGCTGCAATTATTAAGTAGTTTGCATTTTATAGTCTGCTTTTGTAATTGAACTTATTATAGTCTTTTTTTTTGTATTGCTATTTAATCCTCTTAATGAAGATTTTACTCTCAAATATTTTTATGCCTCCCTATTGAGTCGCTTCTCAGGGCTAACATTTTGGACTCTGGGTTGCTAGTCCATCCAGGGTTACCCTGGCCAAGGTTTATGTGATCCAGTTGCTCTAGGGTTTACTCCTCTATGCTGGTCATATTTCTGATGTGCTTTTTCTGGGCATGATTCTGTCCATGTGACTTCTCTGCATTAAATTCATCACATTATGGTCACAGTTAAGGACGAGGTTCATACCATGGGGCACTATGAAAGGAAAGGAGTGGAGGAGTAATGGACAGAAGGACTGAGCACAAAGGAACTATAGACAACCGCTATGGAGGCCCTCACCCTCCGGCCCTGCCCTCTCTCAGGAGCTGGTCCCTGCCCTCAGTAGCCACAGATTGGTAGGAAAGTAGAAAACAATGAAGTAGCTCTTTGCAGTTTTTTCTGTGGCTGGACCAAAACTTTGCATTTATCTTCTTAGCCTGAGAGTGCCCCCTGGGATGGGGGTTCCCGACCAGGATCCTGCAGTGCAGGGCACCGGGGCTTAGGAGCATGTGGACCCAGCTTCCAATCCCAACTTTGACATTGTTGAGCTCTCCAGTCTGCCTGAGCTTCGGGGCCTCATTTATAAAATGGGTATAAAAACACCTAGCTTACAGATCTGTTGGTTGAATTCAATTCAGCAATATATTTTGAGAGCTAAGGTACAGACCAGGGAATAAGATAGCCAGGGTCACTCGCCAGATGCAGAGGAAACCAAAGGTCACAAATGGACATGGGCTAAATCCGCCCTGCTGGTGGGCTTGGTTTTGTCCTCACAATGTTTGTTTTAATATTATTACTATGAGATTGATGCCTGCCCTTGAGAAATTACAAGCTCATTAACGCAGAGGCAGTGGGTTCCCGCTGCTGCTGGGAGCTGAGAGGTGGCTGTGCCTGCAGGAGGAGGTCTGGGCGCTCTGGTCCCCGCTGTGTCCATCTGTGTGCTTCCTTCAGTAGCGCACAGCCCCTGTGGGCCTCTGCGGTTGAAGTCCCTGATCTAGACTGCATATAACATGACCAGTTCATGCCTGGCAGAAAATTTCTTGTTGCTCCTGAGAGTTTGTTGTTATATGAACACATGTGTTTAGTGATCTCAGGTCTTAGGAAAGTGAAACAGCTCTCCATCCCAGGCCACTGGGACCCCTTGCCTCAGGAATCTCCTACGTGTGTTTCACAAAGCGTCTGAGCACCATGAAGCCCATGGTCTTGTTAACTGCTGTGTTCTTGGTACCTGGAACAATGCCTGGCCCTTTGTAGCATTTCAGTAAACGTCTCTGTAGTGAAAGCCAGACAGTGCAGGTTATTATATTTTTTCTCACTAGCTCAACCCAGTCTACGATCTCACTATCGTACTTACAGTTTTACTTCTGCAGAGCAGCAGAGCGATTCATAGTACAGTCCAAGTTCCAGCGTGCTGATAAATCGCTCAGACTTCCAGCGTCGCAAGGTCTTATTTATTAAGCATACCGCCACTGTTCTCTTTCTGGAGAGAAAGTGGTCCTCTGCTATGTGAGTAGTTTTATGTCTTGATAGTTAATCCATCAGATGGACATTTTCATTATCCATCTCCCGGACTGGATACTGTTTGCCCTGCACTTGGCCCTGTCTCACTGTCACTCATGACTCAGCATATACAGTAAGAATGAGAAATGAAACAGCATTCAACCCAAATGAGCACTTTGTGATTTCTAAATTCCTTTCCTAATTTAATTACTCCTACTAAGAAATTTGTTCCACTCACCTTTCTGATGTCTCATACACATCACTGCACATAGGACGCTGTACTAGTGATGCTCAAAGGGGTATGAACGGATGTGCGGCACAGTTTTGTCCTCTACATTGAACGACACCCAAACATTCTGTCCATTTGTGTTTTTATGCCTGTTACGTACAGCTTGGGCTTGTTCTCCACAATTGCTGCTTGATACTCTCTTTTTTGCTAATCTCTACAGGCACCTACTCCCCTTCATAGCTACGTATAAGCTAATAGTGGCCAATTAAAAAGATCATTAAGCTTGCTTGAACACATCATTAGCCTCTTTGGAAATAAGACAAGGTGACGTCTGTGTAAGCAAAGCAAATGGTCTGCTCAGTCATTTTTACCTCCTTCCAAATTCTTGTCTGTGTTTCTTAATTATTGAGGTCACTAATAAGGAACCTTAAAAAGTATAGGGTTTCTATAACTGTATTTACTATACTTCTGGGTCATTCTCATACACACTTACAAAATCGTGACCCAAATACTCACATTTCAGAGCAATGTTGAAAAAAGATGATGCGCTCATTGGCCAAAATTAGTCATTTGCTTGCTGTCATTTGTATTGACTGCCTCCTGGACTCCTCCCTGCCCTTCTCTTTCCCTTCAAAACCCAGTATCACAGTGGGTTTCAACACACACTCATCCCTAACATCCACCTTTACCTCTAGTGGCATCACTCTAGTACAGCGTTCTATGTGCAGTGATGTGTCTGAGACATCAAAAAGGTGAGTGGGGCACATTTCTTCATAGAAGTAGTTACATTAGGAAAGGAACTTTAGAAATCATAAAGTGCTAATGTGCGTTGAGTGCTGTTTCATTTCTTATGGGTGGAAAGCCGCTTTCCACCCAATTTTACATCACATCTCCCAAGATAGTTTGCATGTTTTTAATCATAAACTTGTATTTTGAGGTAAATATTTTACAACTCACAAGAAGTTGCATGATCATACAGAGAGTTCCATGCACCCCACTCCCAGCTTCCTCCAGGGATAGCTCACGTGACCACAGCACACTGCCCAAACCAAGAAACTGATGTCAATATACATTTCTGCTGACTCAGATACAGACTTTATTCAGATTCAACCAGTTTTGACATGCAGTAAAGGGCCTCAGTGTTGCAAGACAGGACCCACCTTGGAAGGCAGGAAGTAGAAGGAGACCAAGGATCTGGAACAGGGGATTTAGGGGGAAAGAAGGGAGCTAGATGTACACACGTAACCCTTAACTCATCATGATTAAACTGATTTGTGCCTCTTATTTTTCACCCAGGGAAAACCTGGTGCCTCAGGACCACCTGGCAGCAAAGGAGAAAAGGGTGACATGGTTGTATCGAGAGTTAAAGGTGAGCCTTTAACCTAGCTCCCCGCCCCCCATTTTATGAATGACGTATGAGCCCTCCTCTTGAACCAATTTTCCCTGTGACCGCAGAACAATTCTATCACAGGATGTAGGATTGTTGAGATTGCTTTAAAAAGTACTCCCTGCCCTTTATAGCATTGAGAGAATGCTGAGCATTAAATCCTCTGTCTCTTATTTGAAAACATAAATGCTCCTTGAGTCACATAGTCACATTCTCATCCTTGTGAACTTGCATTTAAAACAAGAGCTCCTTTGACTTGCCTGGTGTGTATTGACTGCATTAAAATATCCTGTATCAATCAAAACTATTTTGGTCAAAAGTTACAGAAACACAGCTTGGGTTTTTCTGTAACCCAGTTAGAGAAAAAAAAAAGAGCAATTTATTGGTTCACCTAAATAAAATCTAAAGGTCAGATGCAGGGTTTGCATGGGGACAGCTGGATCTACGGCCTCAGATTCCATCAGGAGGCTTCCCCAGCCCCTTGTATCTTTCATCGCACCATCTGCAATTTCTCCACAAGACTATCTTTCTCTGGATCGTGGGTCCACGCCCCCAGGCAGCTTGCAAACAGATAGGAAAAAGACCTCTACCTTCTCAGCTCCAGTTAGACAAAAAAATTCTGGGAGGATTGGACTGGCCTGGGGCAAGTGGCCAACCACTGACGGCTCCCCCCGGTCACTGTGGCCAGAGGGCGGAGTGCCAGGTTCGACACCACACAAGCAGGGCAAGATGCTGTTGTTCTTCGAGCCTCCACACACCATGCTTGTCAGAATGGGAAAAGGGACCTTTCCCAAACAGGAGATCCAGTGTGTGTGGCAATGTCATTCTCCCCCTCTGTCTTTTGCATGTGTGACTTTAGGCAACTGAGACACACAGGACTCTGCCAGCCACACAGAGTCAAGGGCATTGCTTTTATCTTGGTTCTATGTTTCCTTCTACTCCACTCACTGCTGGACAGGGCTGGAATACCTTTTAACCTTTTTTCCCAGGGCACAAAGGAGAAAGAGGTCCTGATGGCCCCCCAGGATTTCCAGGGCAAGGGGGACAACATGGTCGAGATGGACATGCTGGAGAAAAAGGGGATCCAGGACCCCCAGTATGTATAATTCTTCTCCTGCTGTAGAATTTCACTTTCTTCTGGGGTCACAAAGCATCTGTTTACCCCTACTCAGTTTAAAATAGCTGTAACTCAGTAAGGTGCCAACATGCTACAAGCCAGAGTCCCTTTTGAGTCACTTCCACAAAAAAATGATTGTTAAAAAGTTATGCCATAATTGCAGATGGTCTAAACCATCAATGGCAGTTCAGTCAAAGCAAGACTTTCTGTCCCCCATCTTTGTGTCATTCTAGTGGTGTTTAATGCCTTCTGGGGCCCTTGTAGCTACAAAGCCCCCCTGATTTCAGGTCTGTTCGGTTGACTCTCTAGGGTGGAGGATAGAGCACAGGTCCAGATAATTACCTCCAGTTCTGTGCCCTGGTGGAGAAGCGCATGAGGAGAAGTGACAAGCAAGGAGAGTGAAATCCACTGAATTTATATATTAACTGATGGAGAATCCCTCCACTGACAAATGATATTTCTGCATTTTTCAAACTTGTTTTGGGTGGACACCTTGTGTAGAAAATAGAGAAAAAGAGTATGAGACATGACCTGGCACAGAGGAACTGAAAATGCCTGGGTAAATGAGGTATTTTGATGCTCACAGTGCCACAGGAACTGAGCTGGGTGTTTTACACAGAATAGGAGTCTTCTTAAGAGCAATTATCTTTCCAGTTTTAATGTAAGAACATGGAGGTTTAGGGTATGTTACCCAAGGTCCCTTCTCTATCAAGTAGTCCAACAGGTATGTAAAGCCCAGTCTGCCTTATTCCAAAGCAGGAGCTCCTTCCACCAGGCTGTGCGCCTGCCATTGCAAGTGTTGTGATTGGAAAGCCAAGTTCTGATTTTGTAGGGACTCCTTCGGACAGAATATGCAGGAATTGGAGGTAGAAGCTTAGAAATCAGGTTAGATGGTGTTTTTATAGCTTTCTAGTCTTTGGGCTGATATCAAGTATTGTGAATGATGTCTGCTTTTGACTTGGAAATCCCTTTAGATATAATTCATTCTTTCAGTTAAGAAACTGTTTAGAAACCAGTGTCACCGAGCAGTAATTGTCATCATGTACTGATCTAATTGTGAAAAACCAAAGCGTGTCTACAGATCAAACTGGGAGAGGAAGTATCTATAATACCCATGGGGTGGAGGTCATGCTAGGTTCAGCCAGACTCCCAAGACTCTCATGGACCACCTCTGGGGTCGGGCTACTCAGGACGGAAGACACAATCTTAACTTGCCAGCAGAGTGGCATCAGGCATCGCTCATATGCCAGAGTCCTTGCATCTGTTCATGCATTTGGTGTGCAAAGAGATGAGGCCCCCATGTGGCAGATGTGCAAGCACGCCCTGACTGCAGAGCCTCATTCCCTTGCTGGAGCTGTTATCTCCAGAGCATGGCTTGGGGGAACCTCACAAGGAACTTGCCAATTACAGGAACCACCAATGAAGCCCCAACAAGGGCTCACACTCATCTAAATAGTTTACCAGAACAGATGCAAATTTTGCAGCCAGGGATTGATTTCACTGTAAGCACTACTGCCTCATAATGTAGTTAACATCCAATTTTTGTGAAGTTTCCAGAACAAACTAGACAGTTAAGTTCAAATTCCCTTGCAGGAAGTAAAAGAATTTGTCAGCTCTTTGCCCACAAATGTGGAGGGTGATGGAGTATCTTATCATAAAAATGCAGGAGAACAATTTCAAATACCTAGGAACACATTCAATTTGTATGCCCATTACCTCCCTTAATTTGCTTATTTCTCTATTATGTTGACTTGACATTAGAGAGTGGTTCTCCATAACATTTCTTACTCTGTATTAAAGACAACACACATATAACTTTCTGAATTTGAGGCATAATACATACATCCCAACAGCAATATATGTATGTAAATAAATATGTATGTAAAATATTAAGAAGAATCTAAGTTAATCATTTTAAATTATGTTTGCAATTGAGAAACAGTCTCTTGGAATTATTATGTTTGCCATTGAAGTGTCTCTTGGAATTATGAGCTTTTTGCATGCGTTTCTATAGCTTATGACAACGACTGCTTTGAGTTTCTGAACTTTCATGGATTATAATTGACCTGTCATACAAATATTTCCAGGGGGATCATGAAGATGCAGACCCAGGTGATAAAGGGTCTCCTGGGCCTCCAGGTCCTCCTGGCAGAGCAGGACATAGGGGGCATCCAGGTTTGGGATTCCCTGGTCCCCCAGGACAGAGAGGGCAACCAGGAGCTCCAGGCCGTCCGGGTGAGAGGGGCCCTATGGGCTTGAAGGGCCCAAAAGGTATTTGAACATTTTGTGTGGCAAAATGTCAAGTGAAATCATGGAAGTTAAAGTGAGCATCTCTTCTTAGCAAAGTCACTATCGCGAGGGCAGAACCACTAAATAAAATTCCATCGAGCCACTGTTGCAACCTAGAATGTTGTCAAACAAATAAAAGCATTACAGCACAATCAATATTTAAAACAAATCTTTAAAATGATAAGATGTCTGGCATACCAAAACTGCCTTTCACTCATTTCTGAGAAACAACTTATGCAATTTGAGTATATTAATTTACATATATGTTCAAAATACATATTGTTTTACAATGTTTTGAGATAATGCAGTATATCTTAAAAAAAAACACTTGTATTTCATTTGAAAAATGCACCATTGTCCATGAAAACCCATTTGTAAGTATTCTAGGAAGAAAAAAAAGACTTCAAATATATTTGACAGTTGTATGAATTTTGAACAATAAAGTGACTTGCAGTACTATAGTTGAAAACTTTTTAAAAGGTTGGGAAGAAGATACATTTAAGATAGTTTCTTCTGTAATATTTACATGCACCTTGGCCTACATTGTTAACTATGAAATTTTAAAATAAAATTATATCTTTGGTTCTTGCTTTGAAGACAAAGAAAGGGAAATACTTTGGTATTCAATAAGTCCTATGATCATGGCCTGGGACCCATCAAAATCTAACATTATTTTTATCCATCTGATTCGTTTTTGCCTTGAGAGCATGTGATATACAGGCATACCTCAGAGATACTGTGGGTTCAGGTCCAGACCACTGCAAAAGAGAGAATAGCACAATAAATCAAGTCAAAGTAATTTTTTGGTTTCCCAGTGCGTAGAATTACGCTATTATGTCATCTACTAATTGTGCAAAATTTCTAAAAAAGCAATGTACATTCCTTAGTTTAAAAAGTTTATTGCCAAAAAATGTTAACTGTTATCTGAACTTCCAGTGAATCATAATCACTGATCACAGATCAACATAACAAACACAGCAGCAAGGAAAAAGTTTGAAATATCACAAGAATTACCAAAAATGTGACACAGACACATGAAGTGAGCAAATGCAGTTGGAAAAATGGTGCCAGCAGACTTGCTTGTCACAGGGTTGCCACAAAGCTTCAATTTATCCGAAATGCAGTATCTGCGAAGTTCAATAACGTGAAGCACACTAAAATGCAGCATGCCTGTGTTATTTCTATTTTAAGAGAGAAATATTCCATTTTAAAGAAGGGAACTTCAGAGGCATAAGGTTTGGTGTCTTATTTTCTTCAACAATAAAAATGGGGGATGACAATAACCGCACTGTTGAATCATGCAACAAACAGGAGACAATATATTTGAAGCACCTGATCTGTGTCAGGTTCTCAATAAACAGTAGCTATTATTAATATCTCACCAAGTCTTTTTATTTGCACAAACCCCCACACCCAAAGTAGCAAGCATATCTTCTGAACTCAATGTTGAATGTTGCTGCTATTTCCTGATTTATTAAAGCTTCTGAATCCATCCTATGGGTCTATAAATACATTGTATTCTCTAGGTTATTAAAATTGATAAGTCTTAGAATCAATGTTTTTCTTATTTCCCCTTATGTTTGTAACTCTGGCAGTTGAAGTTCAGATTTCAGGATAAGTCTTCTAGAAATTCAAAATAAAAATAATTCAAGTGCTCCAATGATACTTGGGAGTCTTCCTTTGAATTTCACATGGACTATATGAAAAAAATACCTTGATTGAGTTGTCATTGAGATTCACATTATATTGGGCTGTGAAGTATATGAATGACACTTTCTTTGTCATTCCAGGTGATACAATTCCTTGTAATATTACCCATCCTGGGAGACCAGGCCCTCCAGGTTTTGATGGACCACCAGGTATGTTCAATGAGAAGTTACTGTCTTACACATTTCCGGGAGTAAAAGAACTGGCAAGATAGATGAACCACCAGCAAATCCTCGGACGACTAGTTAAGATACCTCTGAAATGATTACAAAGTTTTGAGGGACTGGGGGAAAACAAAATCTGTAGGGATTCACATCGGAGTTCTAGTCTACTGGTTCAGGTGCACGCCAGACGGATTTCTCATATCTCTGTGAAGCAAAACTTACCTTGATTGGATCACAAATCAGTAAAAATGTCTGCCCTTTGAGAATTTTAAAACTATATCTTTCTTTTTTTCCTGTGCCTCCAGAGTGAAAAATGCTCATCTGCTTACTGACTCTGTTTTACTCTATTCTGTGTCCCAAGAGATCTGAATTTCTGGCCAGAAACAGTCATATCCTCAATCCCTGCTGTATTTTTATGCAGCCACTTCCTTTGAATCAATCACTTGCTTAGAGCTGAATTAAACCCCAAATCTACATAAGGGATGTCACCTATTTTTTATTTATATAGAGTTCCAGCAAATGCCAGGCTATATAATCATAATACACATACATTTTCTGTGTTCAGCAAAGCGCTGTGTTTTATGTGGATTTTAATTACCAAACTATGAAACAAAGACTTTAAAAGTGGAAAAAAAAAGTACTAGCATGGCTATTAAAGGTGACTTTTCTTGTCTTATGTAAAAAAGAAACATTTTAAGTTTAAATGATGAATGACCTCTATATCTACACTGATCTATTGCCCTCTATAACCAATAGTTTTCATCACACAAAATATGTAACAATCTCAAAATCCCAGTGGGCTAAGACAATAAGTAATGTTCTCTCTTATGGGTCTGCAGGCTGGTTGGGGTTCAGCTGATCTAGGATGGTCTCTACTGGCTAGGTGCCTGGCTCCAGGTCACATGCAGGTCTGCAACACGCATCTCATTGCAGGGCCAGGGTGTGGTCCTCTCAGGCGATTGCAAAAATGCAAGGGAGTCCACCCAGCTTCTCAGGCACAGTTTACACCCCTCATTGCTTCATGGTTGTTAACATCCCATTGGCCAAAGCAAGTCACATGACCACTCCCCAGTCCCAGGGTGGGATGTCCATGCCACCCACGGCATCACAGTGTAGAGTGAAGCATTCCTGGCCGGCTGATTGAATGTCCATTTTCACACTTACTGGGAGCTTGTCATGGATGGATACAGAAAGTTTCTGACTCCTTTCAACAGCTTTAGCCTTCAGAGAAGCAAACACTCAGACTTTAAGTTGGCTGTTGTACCTCCTTCGAAGTTATTTTAGCTGAAATAACTCAAAGTGGGGATCACAGAATGTTTAAAATAAAAATACCAATTCCTTTTCTAGGTGCTTTTGGCCTAGCCTTCATTCAAGAGCAAACGCAGTAAGATGCAGGAAATAGATTTTGGCCTTTTCTCTGGTGCTTTCTCACCATGCCACCATCTCTTCCCTCCTACAAGGACAAGCTACGCTTGAATGTTGTTTCTGAGACAGAATGGGAAGGTACCACAGGCTTCATCTGAGTGGCGGTGGATGTCCCCAAAAGCTCTCGGGAAGGATCCTTGACAGTACGGCTTCTGAGAAAGCACCTTAACAAAATCGCTGTCTATGAAACACTTAATCGGAGCACATGACTCATAAAAGGACTATGTAAACCAGACTAGGCAACATGTTTACTTCCATAAAGTGGAAATGCTCTACAACAGACTTAACATAGATTTCTTTTTAATCACTTATTTTGTTCTCATTTGATTTGTATTTTATTGAGTGTGTGTTCTGGTGCATTATTGTTTAGGTCCAAAGGGATTTCCAGGTCCTCGGGGCATTCCGGGATGGAGGTGTTTGGATGGGCAAAAAGGTCGGCGTGGCAAGCCAGGAGTATCAGAAATGCCCGGTCCACCAGGTAAATGGTTTTCATTTAGGAATGTCTACATACCCTCGAAAACTGTATCATCTTAGTAAACAAATGGCCTAGGATCCCTAGATATTGGGGGAATAATGGTTTTTCTGGATACATTGAGCTCTTAGCTGTGCTTCAATAATTTTTAGGTCATGATAATTTTAAGTTCTTAGGTCTCCTTCTTCCTGAAGCATGAATGACAGGCTATTATTATTGGTCTGTTATATGATAAAAGCTGCTCAGTCTAGCAGACTGTTTGCCAGTGAATGAAAACAATTAGGGAAACATCACCGGCTTACGGGAAATACAAAGTCACAATTTATTTTCCCATAAAAGGTGGCAAACACAACATGACCTATTAAGTTATTCTTAACTTTAATCAGTACCCCTGTGTTTTTAAAACTCTGTTTTTATCAGAGTAGTGATCTTATAGGTGTATAGGGTCTATATCTGTACATTTAACAATTTAAATAATTTTTTTCAATAGGTTTTCGTGGTGCCACGGGAGACCCAGGTTTTGGTGGTGAAAAGGGGTCCTCCCCTGCTGGGCCCCCAGGCTCTCCTGGGTCACCGGGAGTGAATGGTCCAAAAGGGCTCCCAGGAGATCCTGCTTACGGCCACCCAGGACCCCCAGGAATGAGGGGTCTCTCCGGAGTGCCGGGGTTGAAAGGACTCAGAGGTGACCCAGGACGTCCGGGGGCTGCAGGTATGAGGGCTGTGCTGTCTTGCGGTCTGTAGAACCGGCTTGGCTCTGGAACAAGCCGCTTTAGAGTGTTTAGCCTATCTTGCCTTAGAAATCTAGAAGGTGAAATTTTACTCAAGCATCTTCCCTTATATTCGGGTACATAGTCTGCATCTCTAGTGTTGCCTTTGCATTTTATTAGCTTTCAAATCCAGGGCAGCCTCACCGTGGGTTCAGTCAGCTCAATGTGATTCAGCAGCCAGTGCAAGTCGGCCTGCTTTGGACTCAGGACGGTTTGTTAGTGCTGTGAAACACCCCAGGATCCGAGACTGTAACCTGCCCACTGACAGTGCCAGGGGGAAGGAGGACAGGATAGGCTCTGGGGAAGAGCTGGCCACCGCCGAGCCCTGGCAGGCAGGCCGTATCATCTGGGAAGGTGACACAGAGGGGGGACGCTCATTCCGGCAGGGCAGCAAAATGCAAAACGGGAAGATGGCCCGGCACAGACTCACCTGGTTTTCTGCAATCACTAGATTCTTTAGGACCCCCAGCGGAGTTTTTCAGATTTTAACATACTTAAAAATAATCCCGGGTGGCGGTTCATTAAAATCACCATCTTCTGGGCCCCATCTCAGGAATTCTGATTCATTGCATCAGAATTGGGGGTGGCGGGGAGCAGTCTAGTCTGAACCTTAGCCCCTTGGGTGATGGTGACTGACTGTGGACCGCAGACCAGGCTTTTACAAACACTGCTCTGGGTCTTTTCTAACAGCGGGTGGGCCAGCACTAAGAGTTCCACAGTGCAGGGTGGGCGAGGAAGCCCCGCTCTGTGTCTTCAGGGAGACTGCTTGGTAGTGTATAAGTCAAAATATTCATAAAGAAAAACCCAATTGATTGGAAAATAATAAGATAATATATCACGTGAGTGAATGAAAATAATTTTGACCTAGTAATCCCACTGTCTCACTTGTTGTTAAAATGTATCTAAAGGAAAAGTTAGTTCAATAGAAGATGTAGGTTAGTATGAAAATAACTCTTGTAGTGTTATCCACAAAAGAGAAACAAATGGAAACAAAGAGAGTTAAGTAACACATGCACACACACTCTCTCTCTCTTTCTCTAAGGACTAGTATTCAACTATTAGAAATTAAAATTATATTTGTAAAGATTATAACAAAATGGAAAACACTTGCAGATTAATATGCAATGTGCAAAACCCAACAATTGAATGTGCACTGTGATTACTACTTTAAAACTATAAATAGACAAACCTCCTGTATGAATTAGGTTAGGGTGTGGAATCATGTGGGATTTATCATACTTTCTGAAGATGACACTGCCTTTCCAATCAATAGAAAGTTGAGAGTCCAAGCGATGAATTGTCTTACAAAATACAAATTTATACAGTGCAAGCTGGACATTGTAAGTATTGTGGCAATTTGGTGTAAAGCCTGCCACAGTGCAAGAGGCTAATTAAAATCAAGAAGCACCACGTGGTTTTTTAAATTTGCATAAGCAACTTCTTTGTTGTCTACATGAGCTTATCAGGTAAGACTCCCAGCAATGTCTGGTTTTCCCACTTATTTGGAGCTCACTACCATCTATGATAAGAAAATCCTTTCAGAGACTTAACTTCTTTGAACATGGAGTCAAGATCAAAATGTTTACTTCTGGTATTGATATGCATGAACCCTTTGCTGTAGGCCATCTACTGTGAGTGTCACAGATGCATCATATCATTTCAGGGCCAACGGGCATGCCCGGATTCCCCGGCCTCAGAGGTGCCAAAGGCAGAGAGGGAAGTGCCGGGTTTCCAGGTATCCCAGGTCCGCCTGGCCATTCCTGTGGAAGAGGCGCTGCCGGGATACCAGGGCAGCCGGGTCTGCCTGGGGCTCCAGGCAGTCCAGGTGAGTGTCAGCAGGTGTTATTAGCTGTGGATGGTCTGGGGCTTCACCCTACTTACAAATGAATAAGCCTGTTGCTCTTTGATGCCAGCACAACCAGGACTCCTGGCAGAGACGAAGGACTTTATTATTCACGGTGCTGCAAGGAGCATGTGCTTCATGTTGGTTTGTGTCATTTCCACATGTCACCTAAGTCTCATCGGGGCAACAGCATGGGGCTAGATCGATGCCACACACACAGGGGGTTGTGGTATCTGAGAGGATCTCTGAGCCCAGAGCCCCCCTGCTTTATAGTCGCCTGCAGGATAGCCTGCTTTTTGTACTGGGGGAGGTGCTGTATCATCTACCAAGGTTGCTCGCTACAAGCACAACCTTGGAAAATAGCCCAGATAAAGAGCCATTAGGACCTTGTATTTTTGGCACACCAGTGAGACGTGCAGGGGCTCGAGAGACCCCGGAAAGGGTCTCTCAACAGGAGGTGTCAGGGAGCTATTTCCAGTGTGATCTGCGATTCATCCTTCAGACTGTCCCCTGTTATTTAAATCCCAGTGCATTTATCCAAATGCAGGAATGTGCCCTCTTGAAGAACTGAAATGAGACTGGGGCAGACCCTGCCACTACCACTTTATTTCTAGCACCAAGGATACTGGATAATGTTGCTCTGATTTCTACAACTCTCTCTTCAACTGAACAGCCTGAGCAACAGTAACTTCGCTGTACCTTCAGGACCCACCTGGAAAGTTTTCTTCTATTAGCTTTCCCCCCTAAGAGTAAATACAAATAATATGTTTGTTCTTTATCCTTATCCATTAAAAAAAGCGAACTCTTTACAATATTCATGCATCTCTGCTGGGAAATATTTATCAAGTAATCTGTCTTCATAGCAGCCAGAAAAAATATATCCTTAGATTGATGGAGAGCTGCTGTTATATCAGCTGATAAATATTGGTTCACCAGTGATACATACACAGTTTAAGCGACCATGAATATCTTTGTCCTGCCTGGGTGTGGAGCCAGTTTTGGTCTTTATGCACCGTTATCACTGTGGTTTGTCTCAGGTGCCCCAGGTTGGAAAGGACAGCCAGGAGACGTGGGGCCCCCTGGACCAGCTGGAATGAAGGGCCTCCCTGGAGTCCCGGGACAGCCAGGGGCTGACGGAGCCCCAGGGCCCCCAGGAGTCCCAGGCCCCTTGGGGGATGAGGGACTTCCTGGTCTTCCAGGCCCAAAGGGTAGGTAGCTCCTACTCATTATTCCCTGGCCCCCCTCCACACACACACACCACTTTATAACCTGGAAATCCACTGTCAAGTGAAGACTACTTCATATGGCCGATTTACTGTTATATTAGCCTGACTTAGCTCTTCCCTGAGTGACAGCTCCCTTCTTGTCCTCTGCATTGGTATTTCCGGTGGCAGAATGTTTTGCTATAAGGAAAGGGGAAAAGTTGGGGGTAGGTTGAGTCTACAGAAGCCAGAGACACTTCTGCTCCGTGGACTTGGTAGAGCTGATCAAGTGTAGGGTCATGGCTGTTGCACCTCCACTTTGGACGGCCCCACTCTCCCCCCATGTCCACCATGCTCAGTTCTCTGAAAGCATTACAGGATCAGGACTCAGGCACAGGAGGCCTATGCTTCAAACGTGCATGGTGGAAACCTGCCCGGGGTGGAAATGTACAACCATTATGCTGGGTGAGCCATTACGCATGCCGAGCTGGGCGGAATGCACATCCCTATGTGGGTCTAGGAACGAGACTAGCTTTTAAACTGCCCTATAACCTCATGTTCTCATTTCATCAGGACCCCAAGGACTGCCTGGCTTCCCAGGTTTTCCAGGAGAGAGAGGAAAGCCTGGCCCAGAGGGACACCCTGGCAGAAAGGGAGAACCCGGCGAGAAGGGGTGGCCTGGCTTCCTGGGAGACCAGGGAGTGAGGGGCGCCAAAGGTAACTGCAGTTAATAGCACAGTGACAAAAGATAGGTTGTTTTGAGTATTTGATCAGAACGTATAATATGACTTCTGGGCAATAAAATAGGAAATGGGACCATCCTGCAGCTTGGATTCCTCTCCTTTTGGACCTCTGGTGTTTGTTTTAGAATTTTGAGCAAAATTCATTTTCCTTGCCTTTCAACCTTATTGTATGTAACTATGGAAAATAATAGCACCATTAATAGAAAAAAGTTAACAAGTGCTTTGATTTATAGTATGGGGTTTCAGAGACTCTTCTCTCCTATTGGGAAAAGGGTGCAGGCAGGCCTCTTGGCCCTCAAACCCTGTTGCATTTTTTTCCTTTTTTTTTTTAGTATGAGAAAAACAAAGGTTTTCTGCATAGATCTGGACAGTAAATGTTTTAAGCTTGCAGGCCATGTGGTCTCTGTTGAAACTACTCAGCTGAGCTTTGTGGCCTGCAAGCAGCCAGACAGCATATAAACAAACGAGCATAGCTGTGCGCCAATCAAATGCTATTTATGGACACTGGAATTTGAACTTTGTTGAATTTTCACACGTCATAGCGTATCATTCTTGTGTTCAGTTTTTGCCCCAACAATTTAAAAGTGCAAAAACCATTCATAGCTCATTGATTACACAAAAAATGGCAGCTGGTAGGCTTTTGCTCGCAGACTGTAGTTTGCACATCTTGAAACTACGAGTCCACTTTTCATCTGGATGGAGCCTGAGCTGTGTTCTCCCCAAGCCTCATTGAAAGAGAGAGTTTTCATTGCAATAAAATATAAAACTGTGAAGACCACTGGTTTAAATGATCTGTGCCCATTCCTGTTAAATATTTACTTTTGCCACTGGGCCACAAGGCTGCACAGTGAAGGTAACATTTCATTTCTGGTGTTCAGACTGAATGCTTGACAAGTTTTAGAAAGGAGGTTTTTGTTCTTGAAGCCCTTAAAGCCTATTTAATTCAAGTTACCTTTACTTCTCAGTTGATTGATTCTACTAGGATTTTTGTATTACTCCCCTCTAAGTATTTACGTAGAATCAAGGAATCAGAGTGACTCTTTGCTAGCTTAGGTAAGTGACGCTTAGGTAAGTGACGTTTGTCATGCTATTGAGCTCTGCAAAAGAATTTTTTAAAAATGCTTTGTAATGTTTTCGAACCATGGTGTAAAATATTCCCACCATGGCATAAATACCCCTGCCATGGCTGATTTAACCCCATGAGCTGTTTAACAGCTCACGTGCAGAATTCTTGGATTGTTAGTCACTGGCTCTCACCAGCACATTTCTATAACTGGGCACTGTGTACAAAAACCAGTCAGGAATATCATACATCCTTCCTACCTTTTGGAATTCACCATGTAGAGAACCAACTGAGATAACTGTTTGTTCTTTTAATGTAAGGAAAATACCAGAGGACAGCTAGGAAGGGGACGACAGGGAACTGGAAAATATGAGATGGGCCATTCCATTGTACAAGATAATAAGACATTATTTTAGACCTGGAAGTTCACAAGCCTGCCTTTTTTCACTTAAGACTCTGAGACCAGTTTGGCTGAATCAGTAAATATTCACTGAGCACTCGCTGTCTACCAAACCACATTTCTGGGCAAGCTGGGAGGGGATATAAAAGGCTCAGCCTGTCCTTTAGGAAATCAATCACTGATGTTGATACTATACAATCTATAAATATAAATACAGTTTAATAGATGAAGTGGGAATTTAAAAACTGTTGTAAAGAAAAGTCATGTGTATGGTGCTCTGTTTGTTTTAATCTTGCATAATTAAAATCTAAAGGAGCACAAGGACCCCCAGGAGATGAAGGAGAAATGACCATAATTTCCCCAAAGGGGAGAACTGGGGAACCCGGACCTCCTGGAGATGGTGGATTCCCAGGAGAAGGAGGTAAACACTTACGTTGTTTTGAACTGTATCAAATAAGTTGACTTATTTACAGATTCTTCACACAACATATGTTTAGGCAACATTCCCACTCACACTGAGATCAGAAAAGGTAATTTTTTTTAGATACAAGTATATAATAATGAACCTGTTGGTACCTTTTTTGCTTTTTTGCTTTTTCAGGAGTATTTAGCTGAAGTTCACATGTATTTATAGATTTGCATATTCCAAAGGAGGATCAACCCTGAGATATACATACAATATCAGTTTCAGGTTGAAAATACCACTGGTTTGATGGCTGGTACTAAAATGAATCGCACAGTATCTGTCCAAATCATTTGAGCGGTTCTTCTCAATCCTCAGTGTGTGTCTGCATTCCCTGGGGCGCCTGTGAAAAGGCGGGTTCTGAGTCAGCAGGTGTGGGGTGGGCCCGAGGCTGCCTTTCTGACAGCCGCCCCAGTGCCTGTGCTACTCGCCCTCAGATCCACTGCGTAGCAAGGATTTTGACCACTACGTTGGTGTTCTCTTTCCTAAGCTCAGACTTCATCTGCATGAGACCTGAAGTTCTTGTTTGTCTCTCTCCTTAACTAGTTGTTAGGGGACAAATGTTTTAACTTCTCTGTAAGTCCTTCCTCATTTGTAAAATGAGCAGCATGTTACAGCTGATGAAACGTGTGCTCACTTCCACCTTGGACGGCCCTGAGTCTGATCATGGGCAGCTTCTCTTACGTGAGGTCACTGAAGCCAGAGGGCATCCTGACGAGTCTTAGGGCAGGATTTGGGGTCCCAATACTTCTGATTTCATTTCCTAACAGTAGGACTAAGACCCTCCACATAACTGTTGCCCAGCCTAAGATTTCCTAGAAGTTCGTAACACTTCCAACCCTGTCAGGTGATAAAGGCCATCCTGGGATCCAAGGGAGAGGAGGAGAGCCTGGAAGACACGGACTACCTGGATTCCACAGAGGGGAGCCCGGCAGTCCTGGGCAGCCGGGGATTCCCGGCCTCCCGGGCCCTCCAGGCTCAGCCGGGCTGAGAGGGACCATTGGTTTTCCTGGATTTCCAGGTGGCCAGGTAAGCAGCTGCTGTTTTGGGAGGAAAAGACTAATAAACTTTTCTGCTTTGGGGTTGCCTGTAGGGAGTCATAATCCGCCAGTGTATATCATTGCCCTTTTGCCAGCTTTTAGAATGAAAGAGGTATGCCAAGGAAAGAGTGGAACCTTCCGGAAGGCCATGATGTAACTGATTTCTGACCAGTGTGCCTGCCTGCTTCCCCTGACACAGAGGACCAAGTCACTTACTCCACAGATTACCCCCGAGCCTGGTTTAGAGGAAGGGGAAGACAGGGAACTGGAAAATATGAGATGGGCCGTTCCATTGTACAAGATGATAAGACATTATTTTAGACCTGGAAGTTCACAGGCCTGCCTTTTTTCACTTAAGACTCTGAGACCAGTTTGGCTGAATCAGTAAATATTCACTGAGCACTCGCTGTCTACCAAACCACATTTCTGGGCAAGCTGGGAGGGGATATAAAAGGCTCAGCCTGTCCTTTAGGAAATCAATCACTGATGTTGACACTCTACAATCTATAAATATAAATACAGTTTAGTAGATGAAGTGGGAATTTATAAATTCCATAAAGATATGCCTCATGACTGCTGGTTTACCAGAATAAAAGTCATCCAAAAAACAACCCAAATTCCAGTTTCTAAGCCTCCTGCATGTTTGCAGATATTAACAGAATTTGCTGTAAATACATTTGATCTTCACAATTAGCAAAACAACCCTTGAGAAGCCAGGAGGTACAATAAATGTAGTAGCCTATATCGTATCTTCTGGAAAATATATAATATAACTTGCAATCCATTTTTTGGAATAAAACAGACTTTTAAAGTTTTTGGGTTGAAAATGATTTATAATCATATTTTATTTTGTATCTATTTATACATCCAAACTTAAAATTCAGGTTATGTGATGCAATTATTACTTTGCAATAAAATATAGAGAACTGGATGCTGTCTGTTGGTGTCTCCAATTCTGGAGGAGTTTTAGCAACTTTCAAAAACTGGACACATGTAGTGGTACGCTTGCAATGTATTTCCAGGTTTTTTTTCTACTATTGTAAAATATAAAAACCAACTTGTCTGTGGAAAATTGTAATTGGGTCATGTCATACACGTGCCATTTGTACTTGAAACCCAGTTAAGGTTTTACTTTTATTTCATTAAACTTACCAGGGTGAGCCGGGTTCTCCAGGGCATCCTGGACTTCCTGGAATTGATGGAACAAGAGGACCTAAAGGTATGGTTTGGAAATACAGCAGCCGTCCATCAAGCTCATGGTCCTGGGTGTTTGTAACATTGTGAGCAAGCACTTTGGCTTGAAAAGTAAAATTTATCAAACAATCTGCAACCTCCAAGGGGTTCTTTTGAACTCTACTAGATAGTCAGACACTCACGACCAAGTCTTCCACATTTGTCACTCATATGTGAGGGTACCAGGTAGAAAACGGCCTGCCTGTAGGGCACACCGGGTCCTCCTCCCCAGTGGGAGTCCATGCAGCAGTCCTTGCAGTGACTGCAGCTCCTTACTTGACTGCTCAGAGGCAAGGAGACCAGGTCTACTTCAACAGGCAGTGTCCACCTTGGCTTAGGAGCCCCAGGCCACACAGGAGCCAGTGTCTTGTGTAAGGACTCTTCTATAGGTATAGCCTTTAGGGTCTCAGTTACAAGAGTCAGACACACAGAGAAGGCCAAAGCCATGATTTTCACCAGGTCTTAGTAGTTTACTTAAGAATTCCTGGGCCACATGTAATTTATAATTGGGTTATTTTTACATAAGCCAAGGATCAGTAAAATTTTTTTTAAGGGAACAATCATAAATATTTTCAACTATCTGATCTTTGTTGCAACTACTCAACTGTGCATAAAAGCAACCATAGGCATATGCAAACAAAGGGGTGTGACTGCGTTCCAATAAAACTTTATTTACAACAGACTGCAATCTGGATTTGGCCCCATGCACCTTAGTGTATCTTATGTCAAAACAATGTTGCCTTTTAACACAACTGTCATTATAATTTTATCAGGTTTATAGGGAAACAGAAAGTTAACCCAAGTTCAAAAATGTCCTTAGAGAAGGAGAAGTGTTATCAACCCTTTATCCAAACAAGCAAGCAAACTAAAATCAAGATATCATAAATGGCAGTGTTTACATAAAACCTTTAATATTTTTTCTATCTTTATATGCCATTGGGCTAATATATTTTTTGAAATCTACCTTAAATGATTCACTTTTTTAACCTTAGCCTTAACCTTACTATCTGGGAATTTACATGTTTGATGTGAAGTCATTTTATTTTAATACATGTTAAAATAAATAACCTTCAGCTATGAAACAGTAATTATTTAACTACCTAAAAATCTTCTCCCTTACCACCAATGAAACATGCTTTACACTTTCAGAGACAGTGCATGAATAATTTGGTTGTTATAAGAAAAATGAGCTATGCATACTTATTTATTCAGAAAGAATAATCTAGATTTCTTCTTGAGAAATAGTTACAAATAGGTAAGTTTTCATATTTGAATTTGACATTCTATAGCTTCAGGGTTCAGAATTCATTCCTCTTCTAGTTACCTACACATTTATTATAGTACCTTTGCCTGTCTCAAGGTGCAAACCTACCTCTTCTTATATCCTTCCTACTTGCATTTGGCCATGTTTGCGAGGAACTGAAATGCATTCAAGGTACCTGGAGTAAAAGCTGTCTTGTGGACTCCACAGGGAGAGATACAGTTCTGCCAGACTGTAAGGCTAGTGGAACTTAGGCCTTGGGCAACCCAGGGGTTCTCTCGAGAGACTTTTCTGCTTTTGTCTATGGTCTGTTTTTTACTTATCTGCCTATCAACTGGCTTCATTATTCTTTATTCAGTATCCTTTCTGGATCTTTCTGGATATGTTTGGATTGTACTCCAACATGCTGTACATCAAGGCATTGTGATAATCTATATCATGATAGTCCTTTTTATTTCTGCCTGAATAGCCACAGATCTCAAATTCTCACTTTTTATTCCAATTTCTTGAGTTAGCTGATCTGGCATGGACCAGGTTCTTATTCTACAAACAATTAGCCACCATTATGAGTATGGTCAGGTGGAAGAGAACTTCCATAAAGTATGGTGGGACTCCTTAGGAAGGGATGTTGGTAGGCAGTACTGTAAAATAGGCCTAATTAGTGTCTTAGTCCCTTACAACCCCATATAGTGTTGCCCTTACATACCATACCATTCTGAATCCTCCATTTATCCCTGGCTCCCAGCAATAATGTAAGACCTTGCATGTGGAAGCATACAGCAGCATTGTATAACAGCTCTCTGAGACGATGGGAAGTCATTGCCTACAATGGCCTTTGAATGTGCTGCCTTTTGTGAAATCACCAATAAAGTGTGCCTTTGTGATTTTTTTTACAAGGACACTGAGTTGAGCTTCCTTACAGATAGTTTGAAATGTGATTGCAGCAAATAAAACAGTAATAATTTCAGCTTTTTGTTTCTGAAACACAGTTTAAGGATATAGTCACTCAGTGCCACACCGTTTTCTCAGTAGAGACCTGAACGTGAAACTGTTTTAGGGAATTAAGAAATTTAAGCTTATTAAGATATAATTTCTGGTGATTGTTATGAATATAAAGTTATGTGTGTGTATTTAAATGTGTGTGTTCAAATCACATCTTACATCTATGTATCCATTTGTTCTTATGTAGGAAAATCAAAAGCATTTTTTCAAATATCCTTTCCTGGAATATTTGAAGATAAACTATGAAGACAAACATCATAAAAGTTATTAAGTTCCTTGTGTGATTCTCTTAAATAATGTGATGTGCAATTTACCACTTACAGGAAACAAAGGTGATCCTGCAAGTCAGTTCGGCCTACCTGGCCCAAAGGGTGAGCCAGGTAGCCCTGGATGTCCAGGTATAGCTACATATTTTTCTTATTAAAACAAAAAAAGAAGAAGTTTGATTTGAAAAATGGAATAATTACTTCATCTTCCTAGCCGGCAATGATTTTATCAGTATTTTCTGCCCCCTTTGCCCATTAGGATACACATCAGAAGGATTATGTAGGAACACTGCCATCACGTCCCTGGCCTGGAAGGATGCTGGGATCATGCACCAGGGGCTCACAACTTTTTTTCCACCATGGTCCTATGACCTATGATGTTGGCATTAACAATATATTCCCCTAGGCATGCCCTGATTTTTGACAGGTCGAAAATGATTATTTGCAAGCAACAAAAAGTTGGACTATTTTGCAATCTCTATAATTAAAAATACGTTAGCAGTAACCACTCACAATGGCTACAGCTTTAGGTTACCATTGCAGGTCTTTCTTTCGTGCACAGAAAAGCATCAGTGAAAGCCAGCAAGGACTGCCATTGTTGAGCTGTCTCATTGTCACATTTACTGAATATCTAACTTACTAAAAGCCAAACCCAAAAAGTGTAAAACCTCATCCCCAACGATAAATCTAAGTTGTTCAAAACGGTACTTTGTTTATTAATGACAATTGACATGTAATGCCTCAGAATGGGTTGTGACATACCAGTGGATTCTTGCCCTCTGGTCCAGGCTGTGGCTGGCTACAGAAGACCCACAGTTGACAAAATATACATACCTTTTAATTTAGTGATTCCGCTGGTGGGAACTCAAGTAAACAATCAGATAAGTGTACAAAGATGTGTGCACAGGGATATCCATTGCGTGGAAAGAACAAATGTTCATCCACAGATGACTGGTTAAATAAGTTATGCCCAGTGTCATTCAGCTGATTGTGGACAGTTAAGAAACCAGGTTTGTAGTTAGATGGGTCCCTTGTAAATTAAAACATCTCATATTAATACTTCTGTGCATTACTTTAATTTCTCTTGGGCAATAGTCATGTTTCATTCCATATGAGAGAAAGAACATCTGAGCAAAGCTATTATGGGAAATTTTATTTCTTTGTTTTTATCCTATAAAATTACTAAAATGGAAGTCTAATAGGAAAACAAGCTATGACAATGGCAAAAACTTCTTTCCATCTCTTACATATGGCTCTTTTACCTGGGAGGTGGTCAAATCAATTTAGATTATAGAATATTTTAACTGAAATGTACAGCTTACATGTATATGTGGAGGGGAAAATAGTCTTGAGGTTGGCATTACAGGGTTTATAGTAAGTACAAGTGAGAAGCCTCAGGAAGGGAAGTTGGTGGTCCAAAGTCAACCTCCACCATTCCTGTGCGTGGGTCTTGGGCAAGTTGCTTATCATTCCTGAGCTGTTTCCTCGCCTGTAAACTGTCCCAGTGCATATTACAGGATTGTTCTGAGGATCAAATGAGATTCCATGAAAACCATTTGTAACCTGAACCTTGCTGCCCAGATGTAACATGTAACTGCCGTCATCAACATCAGTTAGGAGATTTTTCCACACTTACTGGTGTTTTTATGTAAGCCCCTAACGTAGTAAGATTTTATAAGCTGAAAGTAGTCCAAAATGGAGGCCATTGCCTAATATTTTAAGTTAAAAATCATAAATCTGAGTTCTTTTACACATAGGCAAATGTTCTTGAAAACAAATTATTTCAAGAACATCTGAAGTCATTTATCTGGTCTCCTGTGTTTACCACTATTTAATTGTTCTCTTTTCCATATGCCCCAGCTTTAGCTTAAAAATTTTTAATTATGTCATCTGTTATTGACCAGCAGAGTTTACCTAAATAGGCAGTTTCGTTTGACTGGAAAAAGCTGCCTTGAATTTGCTTAAGCCTAGTAAGGAGGCACAGATCTCCTGTCTGACCCAGAGAATCATGATCATACATGATTGTAGTGGGTTCAGTGCTGCCGCTGGCTTCAATTCAAAGAGAAAATACAGTGCATAGTCCCTCAGAAGCTCTGTTCTTAATAAACTATGATTGGGGAGGCAAGACTTTTAATATTTCAGTTTTTTCATTTGCAAATGAGAACGATGCTACTTTACCTTAGGACAGGAACATTTTCAGGATAAATAAAATAACACACTATGAGTGAAGCTCATAGATCTTAAATTCGATCTGGGCACAGGTATAGGCTAATAAGCTTGTTTCATATGTGCTACAATAAATAATGACTGTGTTGTCCCCAGAGGTTTGTAAATACTGAGCTACATATCCTATGTTATATATCATTTTATATTTTTTAAATTTTATTTTATGTGTAATTTATTTGCAGATTCAAATGGTCATTTTTCAGCACAGACTAGTGGTTTGTCCTATAAATATAAAATATTAAAAAAAATACATATAAAGATAAATATAAATATTAAAAAGTAAGAATAGACAATAGCAAGGGCTGATGGTAGAGGTTTTATGGGTCCACTGCCTCAAAGAGCTGCCTGCAACTACTCAGGATCTGGTCTTTCTCTCTTTAGGACATTTCGGAGTGCCTGGAGAGCAGGGCTTGCCTGGCGCTCAAGGGCCCAGAGGACCACCTGGGATGCCGGGTCTGCCTGGCTCCTCTGGACCACCTGGGTGTCCAGGTATTTTGAAAGATGCCTGGGGACTTGCTGGGTACTCACCTAACTCTCAGTATATGGTAAAGAGCAAGTCTTGGCTTAGACCCAGGGTCAGATCTGGCTCTGCTATTTCCCAAACACCTGACTTGGGCTGAGTTTATACTTAACTTACCTATTGCTCACCTGTGCGTTGGAGCTGGTCCTGTCTCAGGGTGCCCGGCACACAGTGATGGTCTGACAGGTAAAAGCTCCTTTCCCGTTACCCCGAGTTCACCTGGCTTTCTTTACTCCTGTGGTTGTCAGGTGCATATCACACATACAACCCCACACGGCTCCTCTTCCTGCCAATTCAGATCAAAGTGAAAGTTACAATTGTAATCGAGAACTTTAATCACTCAGAAGTGTGTTTTCTCCTCCAGAGGTTAAGTGCATTTTTCTCCCTAGAGTTAGGAGGGCTGGGAAGGGAAAGTAATAAACAGTGTTTCCAGTTACCCGTATATTAAGAACAGAGATGACTTTCCCAGTCAGTGTAACTCATGTCATCAGGGAACCCGATGCATTTCATAAAAGGAACCTCCAAGCACATTTTGCAGGGTATTTGCAAAACCTCCCTGTCATCCTCAGGTCATCAAGGGGTTCCTGGGCCGAAAGGACATCCAGGAGAAATGGGGGATCCTGGCCCAAGAGGCCTCATGGGAGATCCAGGCACACCAGGTCTTCCAGGAATAAAGGGTAAGTCAGAAGGAAGCCCTGCTCATCAGAAAGCTCCGGCCCAAGGAGGGCACATGCATAGCGCCTCTCCTGCGCCGAGTGACTCTGCTCTTGGTCGGGGCCCTTTCCCGTGGATGCCTGTTAGCACCTCCCTACTATTTTCTCCCCAGGGCTTCAGGCAGCAGCCATCCATTCTCTTGACTCACCTTTTACCAAAGCGATGGTGCTACCACCTCCTTTTTGAGGGCGTTTCCCCCAGTGTTTTCCATAGTGTTCAGGCCTATTCATTTATTCTCGCTGCAGATGGTTAAGCATTTACTATATCCTAGATTCTGTGGTAGACACTGGGTACAAAATTTTGAAGAGAACAGACATAGTTACTGCCTTCATGGAACCCAAGGTTAGTAGAGGAGACAGATATTAAATATATATATGTAAATAAATATGTATTTATAGTTATGATATGTGGAAGGAAGACAGAAGAATAAGATGCCCCAGAGAAAGAGTAACTAGGATTCACGATCTCTGTTAGATAAAGAAACATTTTTTTCTCATTGAGTTTTTTGGTCTTTACAGACAATAGTAGATTGGTTATATAATATAGGTTATGACATAATATGATGTAACATAATATGTGTTATGAACAAATCATCACGCCCCTTCATTCTTCCATGGTAATTAGTTCTCTTTAGTTCACTTCTTCCATTTTAGAAACAAAGTTCTTCCCATGGGAACCTTGTGCAAACCTCCAGCACAGCACTTCTGTTGTGTAACTTTTACTTGGAAGTCTTTCTCACCAAGTAGAGTATGATTTTTTTTTTAAAGGACAATTTTTATATCCTTGGCACCCAGTAGATACCCAATAAGTCTGTTGTTTGGTTACTGTGTTTCTAAATTTCTGAATAAGTTAATAAGTGAAGGAATGGAAAAATAGAAGAATGAACAGCTGAGCTGGTAGCTACAGAGTTGAGGGTCTTCATCTCTGTTAATAGTTGAAGATTTCTACCCTGCGTGGTATTTTCTGCAACCAGCCCATTTCTTCCTTCCTCTCTTTTCCTCTCACTCATCTTCTGCTCATTGATTCATCCCTGTACTAAATTTTGGTTGAATGAAAATCACCTCCTCTCAGAAGAGTTGGAAACCTCTTGGGCTTCATCGTTTCACTGTGCTGAAAATCCAAATAATATTTTTCTCTGCTCTCATCTCTCCATGCATCAGATAGCTTTCAGATGATTCCAGTTTTCCAGCAAGTGATGGTCTGGTACGTATTCCTGGTACAGGCCCACAGAGGGAGAAGCCATTTATTTCGTTGTGCTGGCACACTGAAGTATTTCCATGCAGCCAACTATTATTTGGCATACAATGCCCATCCTAAACAAGCCATCTTTATGTGTGTTGAACTTTGTTCCTTTTCATTGGCATTTTTAGCAACGTGACGTCCAGTGATTTGTGATTAATTAGGGTTTCAAGCAAAATGATCATTTCCTTGTTTTAAAGGTTTCTCTAGTGATTGAGGCTGTTTCTTGTCTCTGGCGATTCCTACCGCCTTGGTAGGGTGTCCTTTGGCACCTCTTTGAGTGTCTGGAAGATGACATTGGTAAAGAATCAGTGGAAAACACTTCCCATGTGTAACCACTCCTACTGTGTTTGCGCTTTTTCCTACCCTCCTAGTTTAGTGAAATAGCAAGGATTCTCAAGCCCCGTGGTGCCGGCACATCCACCCGATTTGACTGAAATGGCAAAGCTTCTGTTACTGTTCATTCTCCCTTTGCTTGAATTAGTTCTCATTTCTCACATAACTTCAGTACATAATATGTTATTAAAAGCCAATAGGTAATGAATTTGATCAAATAACAACATTACCCCAACCTCCAAGCACATCGTAATTCTGTGCTGTGAAATAATGAGTTTATCAAGGAGAGAAGGTGAGGAAATGAATATGTCAGCCCAAATCTTCGGACCAGCGAACAGATGAACCCTTCTGTGGTGCTTCCTGACCATACACTGACTCTGTTTCACAGGAAACAGCCAGTGACCTACCCTTCTTTAAAAAAAAAAAAACACACAAAGCCAAAACAAAGCAGTGAAATACGTTCCTAAAAAATTAAAGCGTCTACAGTATAAATCCACTGTCGCAGTTCATCATGCTGATATAAAAAGGAGCCGCACTCCAGGCAGACACGCTTTGAACTGAGAAACTAAATATTTGAAGTATGTTCTAAATAAGTCAAGGGGACTGATTATCTTGTTTGAACAAACCAGCTGCTGAACGTAGAGTTGTTTGCTGTGCTAGGACAGGCCACATGGCGTCTGGGTTCTGCCTGCGTCCAATCCGATTTAACCTTTAATTAAACATATGCTAAAAGTGGCTTGATTCTTAGATTTAAGTTTCAAGAACATACTCCCTGTCCTCTAAAAAAAAAAGACACTTGATTCCTGGTTGGGCATTCGTAAAAGGTTGAAATAATAGAAACCTAAAGACAGCTGTCTCTTGCATGACGACCAGTGTAAAGAATGCGGATTGGGTTATTTTGACTGGGGGCAAGTAAACGTTTCGTAGGACAAAAGAGCACCTTGAAACATCTTTTCTCCGAAAAGAAATGCCATGCAGCTTAGAGCTCCGAAAATCATAAAAATTTTCTCCTCCCTTTTTACAATGAGCGTGCTCCATCTGCCACGTCCCTACAGCCCTCACCGCCCCTGACGTGATTGCCTGTGTGCTCCGTGGAGTAAGCGATGGCTCCTCTCTCGTTACCCATTGTCCCGGTGGTGCCTGTCGCTAAGTACGTTGGGGACTGAGGCTCCGTGGTGAGGGGGCCATGTCTTACGCTTTTGTGTACTCTATTAGTAAGCACTCATGTGTTCTCTGAATTAAAAATAATCTGTTTCTAAATCTCATGTTAAAAATCTGTTTTGATGAGTTCTCAACTTTGTCCAACCATTACCTGTAGTCTCTCTCTTTGTTCCCATTTAATATTAGGGTGACCAGCTGTCCTGGTTTGCCAGGGACTGAGAGGGTGTCCCAGGGCATGGAGCCTTCAGTGCCAGTACCAGGAAAGTCCCCAACACACAGGGACAAGTTAGTCACCCTATTAAGAGTATAAACCTGTATATAGGCCACTGGGGGGTGGAGAAGTGTTTTCAGGGGCTTTAAAACAAAATAAAACCTCCAAATGGGATCCCTGTTACCAGGAGTGGCTGGCTAACTCAGATGGCCGCTCCATGACCATAGCCCAGAGTGGGAGATCAGACTGGTGAGCGGGACAGCGCCCCGCCTGTGCGTGCAGCCTTAAATGACAGTTGTTAGACAGGAGGGAGACCAGAGAGGTGAATAAAAATCCCCATTATCAAGGAATGTGCTTTGTTAGCCTAATTGCCTCTCATCTACACTGTATATATTTTATGCATGAACAACCTTCTGACTTAGAGATGGGATTGATAAAAAGCTTTCAGTGAAAAGGAAAAATTGCCCTTAAAACCCTACCCAGATGTAGCTGCGTTCAATTTAGAAAGATAACACTGGGTCAGAGAGGGGTCTGCCAGTTCAACAATGGCAAGGGGCTGGGACTGTGACAACTGGGGATCTGGATGTGTTGACGTGACAGTGGAGAGTTGGCAGAAGCTGAGACATTCCGCCCCCAGCCAAGTCCCCCGAGCCATCAATCTTGGTGGCTTAAGCTGGAGATCCAAACACATTGAAATAGCAAAGTGGTCTCAAAAAATTTATTATCATTTCAGATAGATTGCAATAAATATCCAGATCTGGCCGATGAAGAAGATCTGTGTGTTCTTTTGGTGCAAACTGGAAACCCTGGCTCCTAAATAGGAAAGAAGATTGGAAAATAAACTCATCCAGAACTGTAGAAGTGGTTAGGAAACAAGAACTTTATGGAAAATAAGGGTACCTTTTCTTTTTCTGTTTTTATTTTTGGTGCAAGAGAATATGGCTCATTTGCCCCCAATCAAAAACTTAAATTTTAAAAATAGAATAACTGTCTGTTTCAAGTACTGATAATGAATAGAATGGAACCAGCTAACTGTTCCATATTCTAAAAAGAAGTGAGCAGAGGACTTGCTTTGATGAACAGATAATAATAAATCCTTGAATTATTTATATGCAAATGGTACCCCTCACTTCCTCAAATCTTATTCATCCTATAAATCTATCAAAGAAAGATGTGACATGCAAATAGAAGCTGTAGTCACTCCTTTCTCTCTGCCTGTTCACTCCCTCGCCCACCGTGTTCTACCTTTTCTCACTCACTCATCCAACAAACATTTATTGAGCTCTGTGTGTCAGGAGATATGCTCGGCGGGGCACAGAAAGACTAATAAGACCTGATCTTGCAATCAATAAATTTACCCCCCCCAAAAAGCCAGTCCCCGGAAGACATGGTGTTGCACAACATGGAACATGCACCGGCATGTGGGCATCGGGAGCTCTCCATAAGTGTCATGGGCTGGCTGCAGGGCATTTTCTGTGTGCTGCAAATGTTAGCTGAGGACGTTACTATTGCAAATCCAAGGGACATGACCCTGAACTGTGAGTGACTAGCTGGCTGTGCACTGAGGGGCTCTTACCCTTGGAAGCAAAGACCAGCTACTGGACAAAGATCCACCAGTGAAACTGGAAATTATCAGGGTTGGCCAGGGACTGAGGGGAAGATTCTTTCCTCCAAATCAGTGAGTGGGGAAGACATGTGTGAAGCACCTGGCAGATTTCTGTGCATATTCCTTATCGGCCTTCTTCCCTTCCTTTCTCGGCCTTCCCTCCATCTTTCCCTCTTTTTCTTCCCTCTATCCCCTCCCTATAAATCTATTTATATATTAAAAATTTTTATTATAAATATAGTGTTAATATGCTATGTATTATAAAGAAATATAAGTATGGATATTATAAATGCATATTTATAAATCTGTAGATTTTTGGGTATTCAATGTTCAGTTACAACTTCAGTAAAGTCAAGTTGGTGGAGGTCTCCTTCGAGAACTAAACTGATGCCTGACAAGCAAGAAGATACAGGCATCAATGAGATCACATCGAATTACATAGGTGGAGTGTTCAGTGATCATCATAAAATAAATATAGTTTCTGTAAAAAGGCATCAGAATGGTTCTCCTTGAAAGAACTAGTTGCCAAGAAATAGCTGTAGCCAAACTTGAGTTGCAGGCCTGTTCTTTCTGAGTAGCACAGTGCTTAAAAAAAAATCAGGCAGGTCATGCATTCCACAGCATGCCACAGGCTCCACCTCTCCTTACTGTCTTACTCCTTTTATCTGACTGGATCCTGAAGGAATTAGAATCTACAGAGCATGGTGGGTGGAAAGAGCCTAAGCCTGGAGGAAGGAGGTCTGGGTTTGCTCCCATCCAATCCCTTCCCTTCTCTAGGATTTTATGGTCATAATACCGAATGTCACTTTCTACACCAAGACTCAGTAATTCTAGATTGTATCTGATTAGAGAGAGAGAGAGAAAGGGTCACGATATGGTCATAAACCAATAGCCGTATGTTAAAACCAAAGAAATGTATGTGTTAAGCTGTCTTGGCAGAAAATGTCCACCAAATGAATGTGCTAAATAATGACCACTGGCATGGCGTTAGCCCTGATAATGACATCTGGGCAGTGAGAGCTCATGGTTCTCACGTGGAGAATCTGTGGGTCTCCGTCTGCTGGATGGTGCCTGTGAGCTGTGACCAAGTTCAAGGTTGTTCTTCATTCTTCACCTGTGGGTCACAGGCCTGTGATATGTTTCAGGTCCTTCTGGATTGCCCGGCCTGAATGGTTTGCATGGTTTAAAGGGTCAGAAAGGAACCAAAGGCACTTCAGGTAAGAGAATCCTTGGCGAGAGACTGAGCTGCAGCCCGTGGGCCATTAGATTCTGCTGCATTTCCCATTTCACAAGATTTGGGGTGTGAAGCCAAGAAACTAGGTTAGCTTATAGACACAATATCAGAACTGTTTTTAGTGCTGAAGATGCCTTTCATAAAAAGGACACTTGAGAAAACCCAGTTTGGGAAGGAATGGCTGGTCAGCAGTGCCTTTTGTTGATATCGTATGGGACTATCTTGCTACTAAAAATTCTCTGAATAATTGCTTAGGTGGGGCTCCATTTCAACATGTTATGAACCACAAATAAGTAGGATTTGGTGGGTATTGTTTTAAGTGTGGTAATGCCAGGTAGGACCATGTGGTTCTAGTTAGTGCTTTAGCGTCCCTCACTAGTCCACTGCTAAAACAAATTACCTGAGCAGATTGCTGCTATTTTGATATCACATACAAGCTCATCACCAACAGTTGTATTTGGCTTTGTCCCGTTATTCTCAGGGAATGCACACTTGTTGCATTACTTAGAAGATTAGCTCACAATCAGATGAAGTAGCTGGAATCAGACATGAAAACCTAGGGGACTGTGGGAAAAGGGCTGAAATGTGCTATTAGGTTTGCATGTCTTATTGGAGAGAGTGCCAGAGTCTTTATACAGTATGGAAGGTCAGGAAGTAATTTAGGTCACTTAGGATTCATTCAGGGGCTCTTTTCAGACAGCCTGATCCGGTGTGTGCTCCTCCAAGAAGCCAGTGACGTTCTCCCGTTGCCACGTGAAACTCCGCACTGGTTCTCTTCATATGTTGGTTTGCACCTGAAATTTCAAACCAGCTTTTTCATAATTACTTACTCTTGAATCTCATTTGTTTTTACTCCTCCCATAGTAGAGGTCGGAGAGTTGGTATTATCCCTAAGCAGTTGTTTTCTTAAATTTGGGAAATAAACATAAAACAAATCAAATCTATGGTTGGTAAGTGTGATGGAGCATGAGAGTAAACGGCGAGCCAGAAAGACTGTGGCCAGCGGCTGGTCGCAGCAGCACCAGCCGCTGCCCTGTCACATCCCTATTTGGAAGCAGTTCCTTTCCAGGCACCACAGCAGGGACAAATGGGGAGAAGACGCAGGGCTGATGCTGTTTTCCTCATTAAGGTTTGCATGAAATGGGCCCACCTGGTCCAATAGGAACGCCAGGGCTGAAAGGGGAGACAGGAGCCCCTGGGAGCCCCGGAATTTCTCCTCCAGGCCTTTCTGGAGGAAGAGGTCCCCCAGGTCCCCCAGGTAAGGAGCCTCATACTTTGCCTCTCTTTCATTAACAATTGATACCCTCCAAATGTAGTGAGGCTAACATCTGAACCTGTCCCTCCGCAGGGAGACCTGGGCCACCTGGTCCTGCAGGTGCCACAGGAAGAGCTCCTAAGGGTGACATTCCTGACCCTGGTCCACCTGGAGATCGGGGTCCTCCTGGCCCTGAAGGTCCAAGAGGTAGGAGAAAGTTACGGCAAAGGATGGTGATGCTCCTTTGCACAGGTGCTGCCAACTCCCCAGGGATAAGGGACAGCAGGATGGCAGGGCAGAGCACCTGAGCAGCCCTGGTAATCTGGAACAGGGAAGAGGTCGGAGTGTGGGCAGTGGTGGGCTGTCAGGACCATATGCAGACCCAGAGCTTAGGCCCTCGGTCTTCTTTTTCAACTCTTTCAGACCCCCTTTCTCCGGTACAAACGGCTCAGAGCAAGCCTTTCCCATCACCGGCTTGGTGCTGAGCTTGAGGGCTCAGAAGTTGCTAGCAGGAGGGCCTCTCATCCTAGCATGTGGCTCGCAAACCACTGCCACTTGCCCAGTATGACAGCACCCAGAGTGGCACACACAGAAATAGCTAGCCCTTTGTCTTTGACTGCAGGAATCTTTTTGCCTCTCTCTGTGGTCAGGAACCCCTGGACCCCGAGGGTCTCCTGGCAGTGCTGACCTTCTGAAAGGGGAGCCAGGTGAGGGCGGTCTGCCAGGGCCTCCAGGTCCCATGGGCCCACCAGGCCTTCCAGGACACAAAGGCTTCCCAGGATGTGATGGAAAAGACGGGCAGAAAGGTATGAATGAAATCGTCCCTTAAGTAGTACATGAAGACTTTGGTTAGCTTATCCTTAAGGTCCTGAGGGGCTGTGTCACTGTGAGGTGATCCCTATTCCTATGGAAATACCACATTCCAAAATGTTCTGACTTTCCCAAAGGGTCCTAAATTCTGGGTAACAGTTGGACAAGTCAGAAAAAGAAAAAGCAAGTTCATCTTTAGTCTCTAAGAACATATTTGATAATCTTCTGACTAGAACTTATAGCAATAAATATATAATGCAAGCTACATAATGCAATTAAAAGAGGTAGCAGTCAAACTTAAGTAAAAAGAAATGAATGAAATCAATTTTATACTTTATTTCATTGAACATAATATAGTCAAATATTATTTTAACATATAGTCAATATAAATTATCAATGTGATAATCAGGGCTGGTTCTACAAAGAGTTCCTTCACCATATAAGATGCCTCACCTTCCCACCTTTGAAATTCAATGTGTATCCACTATTTAAGTCTAAAATATTTATTTTAATTAATTTTTACCTAACTTCAAATATTTGGGTATACTAGTTTTTGGTCACCAGGATTTCAGAAAATTATTAAGTTCATAGGACCTTTTTTGTAGAAAAGGGACCCATAATGATTATCCATTTTAACTCCCTTACTTCAAATTAGGAAGCTGGATACCAGAGAATCAAATGTTGAAGTTTGCATGCCCCTAATAACTAGCCCCCTGCCTGACTTCTGAACCAAATATAAGGCAAAAGATTAGGGCAGTGGGGAGGCCAAGATCACCATGAGGTTGCCATGATGATAATGCAGGTGTCATCTCTGGAATTGTGCAGTGCACAGCCTGGATAACAGCCATCCTTTTCCCCTTTATGAGCAACAAAATCAATTTTAGGGCATATGGCTTGTATCTTCCAATTACTGAAGCCCAGATTGGACAGACACCAAGAGGAAAGAGGAGGGGGCTGCCTATACAACCTGTTCCTCTCCCAAATAAGGCACTCTTCCTTCACAGTCGCTGCTTTAGAGAATGAACCACCAAAAATATACTTTGAGATTGGGGAAACAGCGTGCCGTACTTAACGGTAACCTACAAAGGGATCTATGAAGAGGTAGAAGTGCTCTTTGGTGGAACCACTGATTATGGCTTAACTCCCATTCCAACGGGCGTACAGGCCATACAGGCCATATAATCCAATGAGCACTTAACTCTTAGAAAGGATGAGAGCCTTTCCTCAGTTTACCTTTTTGGACTTTCCCAGTGGGAAATATTTTAGTTATTACACTAACATTTATTAGGCACCTACAGGAATATGGTAGTGGACAAACTGAAACAGAGTCCCCACTCTTACTAAGTATAGAGTTTCAAGGGAGAAGACAAGACATTCACTCTAAAGGATGCATCAGTAGAAACTGAGAAAAACAAAGCAACACACTTCTAAGAGTTTATCAGAAAGCAGGGGGCCTAGGAAGGGGAGCCTTCCCTAGGAATCAAGGTTTGATTGGCACTCTGCAGAATGAGGAGGCCTTTGTGGACAGGGAAGAAAAGGGACAGCATGTTTGAGGCACTGGCTGACTGGTGCTAAAACCGAGGGGATGAGAGAGTAGCAGGTCTTGGGCTGGGAGGCACGTTGTCCCAAGATAGTGAAGCATCTTCCCTTATTTTCCCTTCATCTTGTCCTTTGTCTCCAGAGAAAGTTCAGGATTACACAGCTTTTCATTCTAATCTGGTTTTGTCTTGATCATGGAACCACTTTCATTCATCCTTGTGATAGATTGCTGTGTTTCCTTCAGACAGAGGCAGCTCTTCTCAGTCTTACAGAAAAAAGTAAGAGACTAATCTGGACTCCAAGGCTGGCTTGCCCCGTTTTGCTGGAGTGAATCTCTGAACTCAGTCCATCAACTGTCATGGGCTCTATCTTCCTTCTATCCTGGGCTTTACCATCGTTTTTATGTTTCTGTTAGGACCAATGGGATTCCCGGGGCCACAGGGGCCACCTGGACTTCCTGGGCCACCTGGAGAGAAGGGTTTACCTGGAATTCCAGGCATTCGAGGGCCCACTGGTCCTCCAGGTAAGCTTCCACTACCTGAACATCTCCAGTGGCCTACACACAGCGTTTTGTTTCAATATTTACTATGAGGGTCACCTTACAAAAAGTCATTATTCTGAAATTACCAGCAAATTCTTGAGTTAAGCACTTTCTGATATAAAGATTATATTTATTGTAGGCCACACTACACAACCCCATGTTTGGTAAACTAATATTTATTATCAGAACAAATAAGTTTGAAACTTGGAGTTGATTTTACATATGATATTTCTAAGGTAAATAAACCTGTGTTCCCTCACACAAGAGGCAAAGAGTGATTTGATTATAGTATGTGAGGATGTTATAGTCAGTTCCTGTCCCTGATGTTGCATTGATTTCCCTAGATGTTTTATTTAATTTTTTCTGTAAAGTACATTAGTTCCTATGAAAATAAAAGAATATTTCAATATAAGCTCTATAGGCAACACATTTGTCATTTAGGGTCAGAATGAGTGAAGGGTCGGAAGGGCAGACAGACGTGTATTTGAGATTGGCAGAAGTAATATCTTTCAAGATCCTAAGTCAAAATTATGGTAATGTGGTGTCAGTTCAGAATATTTTGCAATCTCCAAAATTTGCGCTCTAGTCTGAAGATAAATAAACTGTACTGCCTTATGATGGCTCCTAGTATATGACAAAAAGCTTATACTTTGATTCATTCTCACATTTCCTTTCTGTGCAGAACCTATAAAACTCGGCAAATTAATATGGAATTTTCTATCTTCAAATGGATAGAATTTCTATATGGGTTAAATTAGGGCATATTTGCAAGAAGAAATCAACTCAAATTTCATATGGTGTAAGAGGTTCATTTCAGGTCTTTCTAGATATGAAAACCCCATTTTATTAAATCATAGCCGTTCTCATCAGTAATGTCGCTGCGGACTTTTTCTGTAAATAAGATGCTGTCATTCTGCTTGTTGTTGATGCTGTCCTTAAATTATTATTTATGTTTTCAATTTTACTTTTGTCCTAATTCTCAAATTTAAAATCTCTTCCTGTCACATGAAAACTGTCACGTGGCTCCGTTGTTTGGCATGGGTCCCTCCAGGTTCCAGAGGTAAGCACTGCTATAAAATCAATAATTTCCACTCAGTCTGGTTTCTGGTCATTTCTATACTTGCCTTTTCCACTGTGTGTGTGAGTTAAACTTTGTTACATTTTTTTACAGATGGCCCGCTGTAATTATATGAGGCTTTAATGCCTTGGCTTCCTTGTTACAGATATAGTAACCCCACATTAGAGTGTCCTAACGCCCAGCCTATTATAGGTTGTCAAGGCGTGTGGACACTCAGCTTATGTGATTTCAGTTCGGGCACGGGGATGAGAGCCTTTGTCAAGGGCTACAGGACATGCCAGTGTAAGTTGCTCTTATAAATTCTAGCATACAAATACACAGAAATTCCCTAAAGCAAGTAGAATCAGCACCCTGCAAGGATGGGCACTTGACACCGAGTAAGGGGCTGTGACAAGCCTTCCCAATGGCACCTGAAGTCCATTTTCAAGGAGCAAATCTCTTTGTGAGTTAAAGTAAAAATGTCAGTATTTTCAGCTACGTGTTCACTTAATTCTCCGCAATGCAAAAGCAACATATTATTTCGTGTCTGGCATTTTCAAAGAGACTAAAAAGAGTTGCTCAACAGAAGAAAAGAGAAATAGTGAACTGTCATTTGTTCTTACCAGGCATCTACATCAACCCTAATGAAAGTTGCCCTGAATACAGACGCCATATGTTATTTTTAGGGCCCTTCAAAGAGAGGTGCCCCTGTCCCTTTTAGCTTCTGCTTTATTAAAGAGTGGAAGCAAAATCAGAACTTTTTAAAAGCCTGCCATTTTCAGTGTTTATACTTAAAAATTACAGTTTCATATTTAATGAGTTTTCACTTCAATCCTGTTAAGTGTCTTTGTGTGAGTGTATGTATAACTCATTTGAAGATAGCCTCAACATTTTAAGTATGAAGTTCCAGCCAAACGCCCATCCATTTCCCTCTCCTGCTGCCTTCACTGCACCCCCAGTGGTGAGTGGTCAGATTATTGAGGCAAGCAGGAAATATTCACATGCACCTCTTTCAAGTCCCCCAGGGTAGAAAATCTGAGTTTTACATTAAACTGTACAAACTGTAAAAATATATCCAACATGGTATTGCCTCTGGTTCCGCGCATTATTTTATGAGAGGTTAAATTCCAACAGTTTATAGGGTTTATGTCTATTTTGCACACTCCCTGTTAACTACTGTGCAGACTATGTTGTTGTTAGGCCACATTTTCTAGGATCTCCTTACTGCTTTATCATTGTTGTTCTTAAAATCATTTTGCGTATTTGTTTGAATTTTAAGAAAGCCATAACTAAGGAGTAGTGTGTTTTAAAATACATTGCAGTTCTTGGAATTCATCACACAGATACGAACACTTCTTAAGGCCAGATGGTGTGGTAGTTAAGAGCACAGGTTTGAGCCAGGACATCTTGATTTTAATCTAGATGATGCCATGTGTTAGCTGTGTGATGTAAATATGTCACTTACTTACCGGAGCCCAAGTTTTCTTACCTGTAACATTTTAATGACAGCAGCACATACACCCATGTGTTTGGGGAGTCATTAATCATAAAATACTTAGCCTAGGGCCTGATATGTGATAAAGTATTGAGTGAGTGTTAGCTGTTATCATTATTGGTTAGTGTTATTATTTCTTTTCCTTTGTGGAGTGATTGCAGGGTGGCTGAATGACACTCTAGAAAAGAATGTCTTCAGATGGAGTGTAATCAATAAGAAAAAATATTTCAAGCCTTTATAGCAATATTTTTTCAAAGGGAGATCCCCAGATCAGCATCAGCAGCCTCTCCCGGGAACACGTTAGCTGTGCAAATATTGGGGGGCCCACCCCAGACCAATGACTCAGAAACCCTGGCCTCTAATGAGATCCTTGGGCCAACTGCTTCTGATGGGCTGAAGTCAGAATACGGCATTATAGCGGCACTTCTCAGCCCTGGCTGATGCTGGAATCATCTGAGAGTGTCAACTATTACTGAGGCCTAGATCTTGTCCCCCGAACTCTGGTTTAATAGTTCTAGGCAGGGCGCCAGCACCAGTACTTTTGAAATGCTCCCCAGCTGGGTTCACTGTACAACCAAGCTTGGGGGCACTGCCCAAGACACGTCCTGGAAAAATTAAACCAGTGTTTCTGGGGTGGAACCCAGGCACTGGTCTATTTTACGATTCCCCTGGGTAATTCCAGTGGGCACTCAAGGTTCGAAGTCCTTACTTCGGGGCCTCTGGCAGCTCTTCAGTTCTGTTTTGGTGACAGACACTGTGGGAACCCACCTGGTGGCTGTGGAGGAATGAGCTAGGGGGGCATCAGGCTGGGCACCAGGAACCCGCCAGCACCTCTCCTGATGCTGCTGGTGGCTGGCACCCCAGAAAAAAGTGGCCTACCATTTGGAAAACCTCTGAAAGTCACTGAACTATGCTGCCTCAACCAACCTTCACTATTTTTCATTTTATTAAGGTATCATTGATATACAATATTATGAAGGCTTCACATGAGCAACATTGTGGTTACAACATTCACTTGTATTATCAAGTCCCCGCCACAGCCAATTGCAGTCACTGTCCATCAGCGTAGTAAGATGCTATGGAGTCACTACTTGTCCTCTCTGTGCTATACTGCCTTCCCCATGCCCCCCCCCTATATTATGTGTGCTAATCATAATGCCCCCTAATCACCTTCTCCCTCCCTCCCCACCAACATCCCCACCCCCTCCCCTTTGGTAACCGCTAGTCCCTTCCTGGAGTCTGTGAGTCTGCTGCTGTTTTGTTCCTTCAGTTTTGCTTTCCTATTTTATACTTATTTAGCCTCCTTTGAGATCCTGCTCACTCATCCATTCATTCATTTATTAAACAAAATGCTTTCTGGAAGTTTCTCATGCACCCCTCAGTGAACAGAAGTCCTTCATGGAGCTCCTACTGGGCGGTTGAACATTCATGATAGCATTTCAGCGTGGTGTCAGAAGCCCGCCTCGAGAGTGCAGTAGGGGCTTGCTCGTGAGCGTCTGAATCCGTCACACAAACGGTGATTCCAATTCCAGGCGAACCTGGGCCACCTGCAGATGTGGATGACTGTCCTCGAATCCCAGGGCTTCCTGGGGTCCCAGGCTCAAGAGGACCAGAAGGAGCCATGGGGCCCCCTGGCACCAGGGGCCCCCCAGGACCAGGTATGAGCCTCTGCTGGTTGCTCATTGTTTGCACCATGTATTGCTGCAATGAAAGTACCTGGTTTGGCATATGGTTTTGTATGGAGCCCAGACGACCACTGAGGATGGAGCAATGGAGATCTCCTTCCTATATGCACTTTCTTCCTATATTTATTCAAAGGGTTAATCATGTACCGACTGGATTGACACATCCCTTCTATTTCTCTGTTGAACTCCTACCTAAATATTTTATACTTGGCCAGCTTTTGGACATGAGGTTTTGAAACCTCTCAGCACAACAGAGTAGATGCTCTATCAATAGCTGTTGACTTGATTTTGGTTAAAAGAGATTGAATTGGGGCTCAGTGGAGCAGAAACAGCCCACAAGAAGGGAGGGGTATCGCTTGGAGGAGAAAGAGGGTAAAGGAGGAGGGTGGCTCTGAATGACAGCTGTGACTGCATCGTTCATGCAACTGATGTGAGCATTGCTCAGTCATTGTCAGGATCCTTATGTAAGAATTCACACCAAGCCATTCCTTTACGAAGTGCCCCCCCAGTGGTTTATTTTCTTTTCACAAAGCGCCTCCACACTGGGTGATTTACAAAGAGATTAGGAAGTCCAGGACCGGTCACCTAGAGGTCCCTGATCACCTCAGGCCAATTGGCAGCACCCGTGACTTCAGGTTATCCTAAAAGGCATGAGGCCATTCCCTCCCCCATTCTTCCTGCCCCTGTGGCTTTGGCTTTTTGGTTCCAAACCAAAGGAATGGGAAGTAGAACTGAATTTTACACCAGCTGTCTGTCCTGTGTTTCCCCAAAGCCAAATAGCTAAGGGCCCAAGAGGTGATGCCCTCCGCTGGGGTCTGAGTAGTCCTTGGTAGAGTCCACACCCTGGACCCTTCCTCCAACTAATATGCAGGTGTTGCTGGCATTTGCTGCACCGCATCTGGGTTTATGCACTATGTTAACTGGGTGTCAGTTGGAACAACTTCCTTTAACAGTCCACGAGCTGGGAACGGAGCCGCCACTAACCTCTCTCCTCCTTGGCACTCGCTGCATCAGCGACGCTGTCAGTCAGTCAGGATGACTCATCATGCAACCTTATGTGAAAACCAAGCTGCCTTGTTGTGCATATTTTTGCAGCACTGGGCGCCCCCCAGCCTGTGAAAAAATAACTTTCTAGTAGAAGATGAGGCCTATGATGGGATTCCACAAATGCACCACAGTGGTTCTTCCAGGTCCCCTCCACTCCTTATATATCAAGTATGGTACTAGGTGTTGTGGGCAATGCACATGTGCAAAAGGTGTGTTTTTCCCCCTCTGGGATATCACAGTCCATGGCAAAAATAGCCGGCAGAACATAAGTTAACACGAGATGATAATTCGTGTTTTTAAGGAGTTTCAGGCAAAAGGTGGTAGGAGAATGGGGCAGGGAGAGCTCAGTTCCAGTGTGGAGGACTACAGGACTGCCAAGACCCCAGCCTGAGCTGGCATTTGAGGAGATCTTTAAGGAAGGCCTGGGCTTCTCCCCAGAATTGTTCAATGGGGAGATGGCAGGAGCACAGACGGGGTGGGGGTGGGGGGGTGGTTGGCCTAATAGTCTGCTAACCATGAATTGGCTACATCCTTGTTACTTAAAGTGTGGTCCAAGGGCAGGTAGCAGCCCAGGCTACACCCCAGACTTACAAAATTAGAGTCTGCACTAATAACAAAAATATTTAATGAATATTAATTGTATGAATACTATATGAATATTGCTCTTAGGAGTCAGCTAAGAGTGACACCATCATTAGTAATGCAGTCCTGGCTGTAAATTAAAGTTGCCTGGAGGGCCTTGAAAAAATACAGATGCCTGGGCCTCACCCCAGACCAGCAGAATACAAAGGGAGGCAGGTGTTCTGGTAAAACTCCCTCGCTGACTGTAGCAGGCAGCCAGGGTGGGGCCGCTGGCCCCCAACAGCCACGGAGACCAGATGGGTGGCTGGGTGCACCCACGGTGGTGGCTTTGGAAAATCACCAAAGAAAGTAACTGAGAAGAAAAAAATCTAGTAAGTAAATTCTGTACCCTCTAACTTAATAGTTATCTTGGGCACACAGAAGATTCTTTCTCCATAGATTTGTGAGCTTCAGAAAGAGGGCTGGCAGCCCATGTGGGCCCAGGTGGGGTCTCCTGTCCTCTCTAATTCCTCCTTACTGGGAGTCGGGGCTCATCCAGCTGTAATTGGCGACCTAAGGGCCTTCTCTGGATTCCTGTGCCCTCCTCTTATTGATGACACTGGCCCTGTCTGCTGGTGGAGGACACCCTGAGGCCACCATCATGCCTGGAATGCAATTGTTATGCTAAAAAAAAAAGGCGCACAGTCCCTCCCATGAGCATCACCCATTCTTTCCCAGGGTCTCAGAGCGTGGGCTGCACTGCTCCGTGGCTCAGCTGCCTGGGAGCTCCCGTCTGCCTTACTGTGTGCATACTCCCAGCCAAGGCTTTCTTTCAGGCTCCTCTTGTCTGATAGGGGCCTCCCAGCTCCTGTTACAAAGGAGCCCTCTTTGCCGGGGATATGCTTGGTCCCCTCTCCCTGTCTGCTGGCCACCCTGCATTGGCCGCACTGTCCAGGTGGGAAAAGAAAGTGACAAGTCCACTCCAAGGGTCTAAGGTGGTCCAATCCTGACTGACGGGTCATCTGCAGGCACGTTGCTCCTCATCCGTCTTATTTTGAAGGCGAATTTTTTAGCAGCATGTGAGGGGTTGTATATTCCAGCCCCAAGGCTGGTTGTGCTTCCTCAGCGGCCACTAGGAAATACCACCCCCATTTAAAATGACATGGTGGATTTCTTCCTGTTTTCCTTTCAGAACATCTTTCATTGCTAAGCTGATTTAGCAGCTAAGTACTGAAGCTGACATCTGCTAAGGAAAAAACAAACCTGGCTCTTTGGTGCCCAGTGTGAGTGGGTACTGGCCACACTAAGTGTGACTTGTGTCTGATAAGCGTTCCCCAAGTGTAAGGCCAAATGCCTTCTAGACACACATCTGTTTGATATAGAACTTTCTCTCCTCGGGTGGCCATCAGAGTCTGGGGCTCCCTGCGATGAAGCAAAGGTGGTGTCCATTTGGGTCCGAGCTTTCACTGCCCAGCGGACTCACCCACATCTTGTTAGGACGTGTTTGCCTTCAGGTCAACATGCAGTCCTCTCAGGAGAGGTATCCCACCGGGCACTGGAGGGCGTTTTTTTAATTCCTTAAAACAAGGTCCAAGTAGAGAATGAGTCCAAGCACTGGAAAGCTCTGGGCACAGCTCCCTGGGGTAATAAGAGCCTTCCTTTCTCTCTTTTGGAAAAGTCCTCTGCCTGACAATTTCTCTAACAGGAAAAAGCTGATGTTGTAACATGTGGCAGAGGGACCCTCTTCTCCCAGATAGACATGCTCTCACCACGCGTCGATACTCAGGAGGAATGCATGCTGCCTTTTCGGTGATAAGCCCGTTGGTTGGCCTGCCAGCTCTCAGGCAGCCCTTTCTAGAAGAGCACAGGAGCCAATGTCAGAAACACTCCATTGGGTAGGAGAGATAAGAGAACATTCTGAGCTCACTGCTGGGGCCCTGTGCTCCTTCCAAAATAACTGATGTTCTCTTTGAAGCTGGTAGAAAGAGATGCACCCACTAGCACCCAGCCACACCACCCAGCAAGAGGCTCCGCCCAGTTACTAGAAGGGAGAGGGTGTCTTTCCCCAGACAGGGAGAAGGAGAGGTTTCCTTTCTCATCTATGGATTGATAAGCATGTACGGAATGCAGTCTAGGCACTGCATGGCAATCTAAGAGAATCCCTTTTACCCAAGGTGGGAGCGTGGGAGGTGGTAGCACCCCCAAAGCTGGGAACACCCACTCTGAACGTAGCTGAGCCAACACAGGGTGCAGGGGTTGGGATCTGGGGGGAGAGACTGGCTGGCTGTGGGGACAAAGAAGAAAGTTTGTGTGGGACACTCTTAGGCTGGTGTTATTGGAACAAAACTTGAGAAGCAGGGATGTTTGGGGAGGCATGCACGTGAGATCGCTTAAGGAGGAGCCTGGGTGAGACAGGGAAACCCAGAGAGACACCCACTGGTCCCCAAGTGTAGCGTCCCCTGCCAGAAGCCCCCAGGTAGCCCCCCTCCCTTGGAGAACAAATCCAGCGTGAAAAGACTGATGGCTACTTAGGCATTAGGCAAGCCCTCCTCGACTTCAGGGTCGGCTTTAGGCTAATTTGTGGCAGAAAGAGAGAGAGGGGACAGAGAGGCAGAAAGGGAGAAAGGGAAGAGAGAGACAGTAACGGGTAGTGGTGGAGCCCTTGAGAGGCCTCATAATGCAGGTAATCAGGCAATGAACTCCCCACAGGTAAGGCCTGGATCCACCACCCTGGCCAAAGGAGACCGTGGTAAGGAACTGATGGCTTGGCCCACAGTCAGGTATCGGTGTGACTGCCGCCAGGTCCCCAGTGTGCACTTGCTCACCTGGGCTCTGCGGGGGCTGGCGGCGGATGGCACGGCCTCTGCCCTCAGCCTGCCCGGGCCCAGTTCCTCTCCACACGGGATCGGCTCTGTGACCCTTCTGAGCCTCAGTCTCCCCACCTGTCGCCTGGCACATGAGAATACCTAGTCGTGTGGCTGCTGTCACACGAAGACAGTACCGGATAACCCATGTAATGGGATAAATTATCATGGGGCCTAGCACCTTGTAAACACTGAATAAAAAGCTATTTTTAAAAATTGCTGCTCTTATCTTGCTCCAAATTTAGCTTGACTCTCAATTCTAATCTTTTTAAATTTCATTCATTCCTCCATTCAGGCTTCTAAAGAATCATTATTAAGGATGTAATTATAAAAACTATAGGTATTCAATGTAAAGAAAATGTGAATGTAAATATTATGAAGAAATGTGCAACCTCCCTCTCACTGCCTCCCTGGCCTGGCTTCAGATTCCGCCTCTGCCCACTCCTGGCTCACTGACCTTGGTTAAGCGAGGTGCTTGACCCCTCAGAGCCCCCACTAGTCAGTCCCCTGCCCAGCGGAGACAGTATAATCTGAGCCTCACGCAGCCAGGAGGGTGAAATGCACGAACGCAGCCAAGCCAAAATGGGGCCCAGCGCCGGCCCGTGGCTTCCGCGCAGTTCCCGCTGCGGGTGTCTTGGGGTTTTTGCCGCTGCCACTGTGAACCTCCGCGCAGGGTGCAAAGGAGAGCCTGGGCTGGATGGCAGGAGGGGCGAGGATGGCATTCCAGGGTCTCCCGGGCCTCCCGGACACGAAGGTGACACAGGAGAAGCCGGCTGCCCCGGAGCACCAGGTAAATTGTCGCCACTTCTCTTCTTTTCTCTGACTCCCGATCCGAGGTGTGTGTACAAGATCCCGGGCCTCGCAGGCAGCCTCCCAGACTGACCCTATTAGCAGCATTTGCCTTAGACACCAACTCACCAGGTTTGAAGAGGCAGAAGCACCAAGAGCAGAGCCCCGGGTCCCCCATTCTCGCAGACAGTCAGCCCCCGTAAAAACGTGCCAGGGCTCTGTCTCCACGGTCGCGTTTCCCCGAACCGCTATCCAGTGGCACAACGGGATCACTTTTCCAGGGAAAGCCTGGCATCTGCTGTGTGGTCACCATTGAGAGGCTGTGCTGACAGTCTTGGGGACGGTGGGGATGTGGTCACCCTCTACCACTGGCTGAGTCACTTGGCCTCTGGTTCCCTGAGGTCAGTTCTCTTATTGGACAACCATCAATACATCTATGCAAGGCTTTTTCTTAAGAAAAACTTGGGGAATGGGCATTGGGTGAGGGGAGAAATGAGACTCTTCAGAGTAGGAACTTGCAATACAGTGCACCAGGCAATATGTTAGGTGCTGGAGATGCACAGACTGCCAGACACAGTCTCATCTTGGAGAGCATCTGCCACACCAGGTTAGTCACAAGGAGTGGAGAGGCCTGGTGAGGCCTGCAGCCAAGCAGGGCTTGCAACTCGCCCTCAGACAGTCGCTCCCATGTACAAGTGCGGGCAGATGTACCCTCCACTTTGCTGAAGTTCAGGACCTTAGCTTGTGAAGCCAAACAAAACAGGTCAAACAGAACACAAGGCCAGGACTGAAGCAGTCCACAGTCTACCACTTTGCAACCTCTGGAAGCCTGCCAGTCTTCCAGAGACAAGTTTTTAAAAATACAAAAACTTTTGGTTTCAAAGTCACACTTCACCTTTGATCTTGGCAATTAGAAATGGCTATTATCCTTCCTGATAAGTCAGCCCCTTAGAGATGCCAAAGGAGACAGACCCTGCTCGAATTCTGCTGAACTGGGTGTTTCCCTCCTACCAGGAGGAATTCTAGAACTGGGCCTTCCTTGCACCCACTCTCTCTCATAGAAGCAGAGATTCAAGTTGTACATGTGGCCTCCAAGCCCTTGACTTTCTTAGAATGGAACTGACAATATGCCAGAACCATGAGAGAGGCTGGGGAGGTGTAAGACCAGCCGTGAGTGTCGCCTTATCAGACACGCAATTCGCCCCATCCCTTTCTTCTCAGCACTTACCACCTGCTGATGTAGTTCACAGTCGACCTTTTTATCATGCCATCATTTGCCATAGTTCTTCCTCAGTAGAATGTATGTCCTAGGAGGCAGGGACTTTGGTCTGGTTTCTGTTTTTATGCTAACTTAGCCCACCGTCTGGAAGCTGCTTGCAATAAATCCATGCTGCATGACGTGTTTGTATACACTGCAGTTGTGTTGGGGGTGTTTGTGGAGCGGGTTGTGGTATGCAGTGCTTAGCACAGTATCCCAAACAGAGGTGCTCAGAAAGGTTGGTTAAACGGAACCCCTTATATTGCTTTCATTTTCTTTTTATTTCCTCCAGGCCCTCCTGGGCCCACTGGAGATCCTGGGCCCAAAGGGTTTGGCCCTGGATATCTCAGTGGCTTCCTCCTGGTTCTGCACAGTCAGACAGATGGGGAGCCTGCATGCCCCCTGGGCATGCCCCGGCTCTGGACGGGCTATAGTCTGCTCTACGTGGAAGGACAGGAGAAAGCTCACAATCAAGACCTTGGTACGTACACATCTCGTGATCACCCATGTCCATTGCTTAAGAGTAAAACTTTTGGGTTAATTTGACAGATTCATCATCATCTTAAATGATCACCCATCTCCTGTGGGATTTTTTAAAACTACCATGCTAATTCTCAACCAAGTCTATTAAACCTATGAGCCCATGAGCTGTCAAAGAAGCTCATTCTGGCTACTGAAGAAGCTTATTATCTGCCTACTAATTAGTTTTTTTAAAAACAAATCTTTCTCAGTGAGTTAAATGTAACTCTGATAGGAAAGGAAGTTTTTCCTTCTAAATATAAATTATTTAATCAGGACATGTTCTGTTCCTGTGTTTATGTGGTGCATTGACTGCACCCTGGTGGTTATATGATGTGGCCTTAGCCAGCACCAACTCCCCATCCTACTCCAATTTGTTTTTAAATTATAGAACTTATTTTGAGAGTCATCCCTGGTACTACTTGTCATTTTTCAATAGATCTGTAAGCTGTGGGGATTGATTTTTAGCCAAGAGTTTAGGCACCCAGGTGCTAGCAAACACTGTCTTTCCAAGATCGTGATGGGTGGGGGTGGGTTCAGGATGGATATGCCAACAGGGACAGCAGATGGAGAGGTGAGCCTTGTCACTGCCTTCACGGGCCATGACCTCTGCTGTTAGCAAGGGCAGTCAGAGGGCAGGCTAGGGGTGGCAGCTACCTGCATGAACCTCTCCATTTCTCCCATGGGCCCAGCCATGGCCCGGAGGAAAGACAGAAGTAACATTTAATATCTTGATTCTATTTTCTTCTCTCCTCCTTGGTCTTCTGCCATCAGTCCCCTTACTGCCTGGTCTCTGGACCACCAGTCTTGCTTCTGCTGCCCTGAGTGTACAGCCGGGGGTCTAGCCTGAGTGTACATCACAAAGGTCTGCAGAGCTCTCTGGGGTCAAGTCCAAGCTCCTTAATGAGATTTACAGAGCCCACATCTCCTGGCCTGATTTTTCCTGGACAGCCTTGAGAGAGGGACACACAGTCAGCCTCTCCCCACCTCCTCCCACTGTCCTCTGAGTTCTTTGAGCTCCGTAATCCCCTCCCTCTGGCCCTCTTTCCTGCTGCTGCTTCTCCCTTGAGCCCTCACCATCCTCGCCAAGCATGGCCAAATTCTGTCATGTGTGAGGTTCTAGCTGAAACCTGTTTCTTCTGGTGCCCGTCCTGTAAGCCCCGGTGCCCTGCTCTTCCTCTTCCCGGCCTTTCATGCTTGTCTCCCATTGCCTGCTCTCCCATCCGTCTCCCCCACCCGGCCAGGCCATGAGCCTCATGAACGCAGAATCGTACTCACTGCTCCACTTGCAGCAGCCAGTGCAGCGCTTGGCTCCTGAGAGAGCGATGGGTGGATGAGTGAATCCGTGCTTGCCCAGGGGACCAGGCAGGTAGCAGAAACAGGTGCATACCCTGCTTTCACCCCCACAGATGGAGGATTGGGCAAGCGCCTCCACGCTCCCGCACGCGTGTCTGCAAATGGGCCCAGCAGGATGGGCTGCTCAGACACCACGCTGTCCCTTCTTCCCTCCTAAGGGCTGGCAGGGTCTTGCCTTCCCGTGTTCAGCACACTGCCCTTCGCCTATTGCAACATCCACCAAGTGTGCCACTATGCCCGGAGAAATGACAGATCCTACTGGCTGGCCAGCGCCGCACCGCTGCCCATGATGCCGCTCTCGGAGGAGGAGATCCGCCCGTACATCAGCCGCTGCGCCGTGTGCGAGGCGCAGGCCCAGGCAGCAGCGGTGCACAGCCAGGACCAGTCCGTCCCGCCATGCCCGCGGGGCTGGAGGAGCCTCTGGATCGGGTACTCATTCCTCATGGTGAGCCTGCCACCTGCCACCTTGTAACACCCCTCCTTCCCCCCTCCCTCTGGAGTGGCCTGTAATCCCGTGAACTCTGTGTACACAGCACAGAGGCCACCACAAACCACAGCCTGTTGAGATTCAGGGCCAACCTCTTGAGTCAATGTTTTTTTATTACTTTGGTAGGATTTCCAGAAGGCTTTGCTTCAGCCCTCAGTGAAAGGGCTTTAATTTTGTGTGTACAACAACACCCCTACTGCTACTTTCCTCAGCAGATCACACACAGATGGGAGACAATTTCAGGAAAAGTGTAGTTAGGCCCAGACCTCAGCATGCCACTGCCTGGGTCTGGGTGGTCTGCGTGCATCTGAGCCCCAATTCTGTCTTGTTGCCCTGGCAGCACACAGGAGCTGGGGGCCAAGGAGGAGGGCAGGCCCTCATGTCACCCGGCAGCTGCCTGGAGGACTTCCGAGCATCGCCCTTCCTGGAATGCCAAGGCCGGCAGGGAACTTGTCACTTCTTTGCAAATGAGTACAGCTTCTGGCTGACAGCGGTGACACCTGACTTGCAGTTTTCCTCAGCACCATCACCAGACGTCTTAAAAGAAAGCCAGGCCCAGCGCCAGAAGATCAGCAGGTGCCAGGTCTGCATGAAGTATAGCTAGGGAACCCATGACCTGCCGACATGTCACCAAGAGAAACTTCCTAGGGGTGAAGATGTCCAGGCTGCGCTCAGAGGTCCAATGTGCTTGCTTCAGACTCTGTTTCCTTCTGTCTGGATGTGGCTGTCCCTATAGGACCGTAGGAAATTCCTCCCTCTGCTGGGGACAGGCTAAGCCAATGCTACCCATAAGGATTTCTTTGGATTTACAGTCTACATCAATCCCAGATACCCAGATATGCTTGTTTTTGAGGATAATGGAAGAGCTGGCTTTATTTAAAAATGTGCTGATTCACAGGAAGGCAAATATAAGGTAAAGGCCAGATTATAAGTTACTGTACTGAAATCTTCATTCATTGGTTAATAACACCTCAAACAATTGAATTACTCTATAATATAGTAGGCTTCTGGATGGATTTTACAAAGAAAAATAAATAGACCAACACATGAAACTAGAAAATAGAAATTTCTAACATTTCAAAATGATTTTCTCTGTCATCTATTCTTCCATGCACTTTGAATAATTGTAAAACCATGACCCAAGGAGATTTAAAAGAAACCCACACAGCCAGCATTAACAGTTCCTTTCAAAGCTGAATGAGTCATTATGCCAGGAAGGACCCCAGTCGCTGTGTTCCAGAGACGGGACATTAGCATAAACACAGCACAGATGAACATAAAGCATGTTCTCGTCTGCGTATTTCAGAGAATAGAAGTGCCTGCTTTGGCAACCCTTTTGAAAAGCAGCAATTATGGAAAAAATATATTCAATAAGGGATTAAGAGCCTAAAAGCTATTAATGAATATTAAGGCAGTGATTCACAAAAATTGACTCCCCATTGCAGTGAACTTCCATACACACCGCTTCTGCCCAGCCGGGGGCCAGCTCGTCTCTGCTGCGCGCCTGCTAACGGGACTGAAGCCACATGGGGCTCACTCAGCCGGCAGAGGTTCAGACAAAGCACCTTCCTCCCCTCCCCAGGAGTGCCTACCAAGGAAGCCATGGCACTATTTTAAATGAAACAAAAACAACCTCCAATTTGAATTTTATGTGCCCGCTACTGGTTTTACAGGAGCATCCTGTGTTTCCAATTTTAAAAACATTGTTATATTTTCTGTCTGTATTATACCAGTGCAGCAGTTTGACATCTGACATTAGTATTTTTTATGAAAGAGTAGAAGTAATTTATTGTGAAATAGTTTTCATAGCAAAGGATATGCTTTTTATTTTGGCAGATTCGGTGGTCTAATCCTAAAAATCAAAAACCTTGTTGGAAAAAAATGTTAGGGAACTTGCCTACCTTATTTAAAAAAATGTCATGTTAGAAATTAGATACATTTCTCATGAGTGACCCTCATTTTAGTACTTAGTTTCAATGCACTTAAAAATAATTAAGAAAAAAACTCAACTAAAACCTTGTTTGTAAATGTCTTCCTTGCCAAACATTGCTTAGGAATGAGCTCTTATATGTAGAACGTGTTTCAAGTGAGTCTTGCTATGGGGCTGCCCTCAGAATAGCAATTTATTTGCTTTTCAGTAAAAAGAGAAATACACATTTTAAGATGAAAAATATTTTCTTGATGTGGCAGAATACTTCATAGCTCATTTGACCCACTTAATGGTTTTCTTAAATAATGCTCTGGCATGTCAAATATTTTTGAGCACCTGAAATTTAAGCCAATTTCAACTTTATTTATGATTACAATTTGCTGTTTCCCAAAACTTTGTCATGTGTCACCAAATGTCAAGGCTTCTAAAATTTCGTCTTGTCCATTCATGAATTTGGTCAGAGAACATTTTCTGGGAAGCAATAATGGTGATAGATCAAATATAGGGAACAAATCTTGCTTCCTATAGTATCTTAAACACTTTCATTTTGGTGTTAGAATATCTTAATAAGCTTGCCAAATAAACTTTAACAGGCTGAACCAAGTGGGGAGTTTATGCCACAGGGAACCTGAAATAGTATAAGGAACTTCTCAAAATACTGGCATCACCAGAGAGCTCTGTAAATGCCACACAAATATTGCCTTCTGATGTCAAAAATTATTTAAATGGTTTAACGGGATAAACAATGGAAAACATAACTTCTGGGATTAGAAGACCATATTATTTTAAGCCATTGTTTTCTTCACCTGATTTTAAATCAGTGTGCCTCAAAATATCCCTTCTCTGTGAAGGATACAGAAAGTTTTAACATTTCTCATCCATCGCTGGTGGTCATGCTTACCAAATCTCCTTCCCAAGATCTGCTCCTCCACCTCCTCGGTGGGCTGCCTCTGTGCCCCGTGGGGATTGCTCTGGGTCATGTGTGGGGAACGGGCTGTCTCCTTCGGGCTCTCATTCCTGGCAAGTGGATCCCTGGCCAGTAAGGTATCCAGGCCTCCTCCATGCTGTGAGTGGGGCCCATTTCTTCTCCCTGCCTCCTATTTTGCTTATAATTCTTCAATGGCTCCACTGCCTGCAACATACAAATGACCTCCCCTGGTGGGGAGGCCCGCAGGACTGTCCTCTGCTCGCCTGTGTGCTTATCCCCGAGGCGCGTTCCTGTCTCTGGGACTCCCTTCCGCTGCTCCCAGCACCGTCAATGGGCCTGCCCGCCCTCATGCTCCCCGACTGCGCCTGCAACGTCTCATCTCACGTGATCCTTCCTTTGGCTGGAATGTGAGCCCCTTGCGGGCGGGGCCATGCTTTACTCATTCTGTATGCGCGGTGCCTACACATATCGTTGCGCACATTATTAACACTGAATTGCGTTGTCAATGACAGTTCAATACATGTCACGAGGCATTGGGTGTTCAGCCCTGCATACAGGATTCTCACGGGCAAAATGGTAACAAGTATAAACCATTTCTTATTTCTAAATATTTGAATGTGAACATAGATCTGCACACCATCTCCTCTTCTAATTATTGACAGAAAGCCGATTGATCGCTTTAACCATCACTCCCTCCTGAAAATTAGCTTACTTCTCCATAAACTGAAATTTCAGAAATGGGAAGATTTTTGAGAGATTTGGCTGAGAGAAGACGCTTCATTGATGTGTGACACAACTTCATTCATGCTGTACCTCTCTTCCCTCATGATATAAGGGCTTCCTGGTACAGGAGCTGCCCCGCCAAGTTTGTACACAGCAGTGGTGCTTAGGAAATAGCCAATGAAATGGTCCACTTGACTGGATTTTACCAACGATTTTATTCTGAGCCTCTTCTAGTTAGTAATAAAGCAAATTATTCTGTTCATTCCAGAAAATTACATGATCTGTGGCTCTATCAGCTTAGCAGACTAATTTGATGATTGTCATTTTAATTTGGTATGGCTGCAAGAAGAGTGGGAAATGTGTACTTTATGAAGTTGGTCAGTCCCCCAGGTTTGAATCTGACTCTGTCACCGCCCAGCTGTGTCACCCTGGGCGATATACACCCACTCACTAAGCTGTACTTTCCTCATTTATATGTTAGGACACAACACCTCCTCCTGCACTGAGAATCAAGTTAGATTGTATGTCTAGCACATAGCAGTCATTGTGCATTTATTATAGTTACATCTTCTATTTAAAACAAACCATTTAATATGAAAAATATTTCTTGGGCTCTTTCCATAGTAGAATGATATTATGATTCTTACAGGGCATGTAAATTACAGATTGGAATTATTTATGCCTGGCCAATTCATAATGTCTTTGGGAATGCTCTTTGATTTCAATTCTCAAAGTTACTGTATAGCACACATAAAAAAAAAATCACAATTTCCTGCAGGGGCTTTATCAGGAAGTTCTACAGGGAACAAAACAACTGACATTAAAAATCGGTACTCTGCAATTGTCACTGTTATTATCTGCCAGAGACTGTGCATAATGCACTTCAAACCACCACGGCTGGCTGCCACATCCATGTGAAATGCTTGAATTTTATGGTGCTTAAATATTCAATGATTCATAGGAAAAATGTGAAACATGTCCGATAAATTACATCCCTTTCTCTAACCTACGGTTGTAAAGTTAAAGGCTTTCAACATGTAACATTTGCAAGATGCCTGGTCTGCTATTGACCCTTAGATTTTGTTGTATTATAATTCATCATATTGTTCATTATATATAAAATTCTATGATGACCTCCAAAACCACCGTGTTTTATCCAGTGCATTTCTTTTCTTTCAAGCCAAAGTGAGTTTACCCTCTGACCTGTGTTGTAATATGGCCTGCCTTGGCTCTGCTCGGTGGGGAATATGGGTCACATGGTAGACGTGTGAACTACAGATGGGGAAAATGTGAGCAGACTGTAGACAGCAACCCCCTTTGGCTGGGGTAAGGGTGGGATTCTGAGGCTCTGGGAAGCCCTGTCCTGCACACCATGGTGGGTGGGGGATGGACAGGAAACCAGGCCTCAGGGACACAGGTTCTATATCAGCCCTTGTTATGCTGTGTGGGCAGCAGATGTGGGGCAGACCCTGTGGACCTCTGTTGTCCCATTGGTTGAAGGAGCAGGAGACTATCTACCAGTACAGGGTTGTTCTGAGGATGAAAAGTAAGAGATGGTAACTGTAAGGTAACCATAGTAACTGGAAATTAAGGGGCAGGCATTGCTATTCCATAGTCATTTCACAGAGTTACTCTTCTTACGTAGAAGTATTTGGTTCATGGTACTTGGCCAAAGCTCTCTTCTGACAGAGAGCGCCGTTCAGTATTCTTGAGCACCTACCAAATGACAGGAGCTGCATTGACCACGAGGTATGCTTCCTTTCAGCCTCTCAGCTACCCTATTTTACAGACAAAGAGCTGAGGTTCAGAGAGAATAAGTAACTTGCTCAAGGTCATAGGCAAGTCCCAGCAGAACCTGAACCCTGGTCTGTGACTAAAAGAGGTGCTCTTACCTGCCACACCATCACCTCCCAGGAGCTTCCCCATGTGTGGATTGCTTAGAAAACAGAGGATCCTATATGAAGTCACTCTGGGGCCCTGAACTGCTGCTTTTCCTACAAAGCCATGGTCTCCGGTCCTGAGGGATCCCTGCCCAACTTGGGCTGGTCACGATCTTAAACTGTTCTTGGAGGGAGGTGGTAGGGACCTGAGGACGGGGTGATTTGCGGGGAGCCTCGGAGGCCCGCATCTCAGGGTCAACACAAAGCCAGCCCAGCCTCTGTAGCCCCTTGATATCAAGGTCAGCCATCCAGAAGATCCACTCTGAGCTGGAGAAAGAAAGATCTGGAGGCCCGTACGTGGAGGCTCAGCCCTCCAGTGCCAACACTGGCCGCTCTGATCCTCCCAGTGGTCAACGAGACACTTTCTGGAACACGTTATTTGAGAGGTGGCTTGATGGCATCCTCAGTGACTATATACTTGGTGTTTGTAATTTTATCAGCTGAGAGATGAAATTTTCAACCAGCAATCATTTTAATCTATTTGTTTGGAGAAAGTAGGAAAGCTTTAAAATGAGAAGTAAAACGTTCTTCTGGTCACACAGCAGTCATTCTGCTTCACAAAACCCACAGTGAATGGGGCAACCCACCTGTGACAGCGTGTGCAGGTTGGAACCACCATTTCTTCAGTTCTCATGATGAATGAGGAGTAATCACAGCAACTTCCGCCATCTGGAACTTGAGGCTGGCCCGATTCTGACACACACAGCCCGTCACAAGCCCTTCTGATCAGTGTCTTGTTTGCAAGAGGAAAGTGGTGTGTGGCTGCAGGTAGGGTACACTTCCTGCTGAGATCAGTTCCTCTCTTTCCTGCTCAGCCCCACAAACTGATCCTGGATGCCTCCCTCCACCTTTTCTGAGCTCCAGATCTAAAGTGAGAACAGGTCCTGGTTCTCTATCTGACAGGAAAGTTGGTACAGTCCTAGCAGATAACCAATGATCATCTTAAAATGCATTTGTGCACATGGAAATTCGAGTTCTTTGGTGCCTGTAAATTACCTGAGGCCATCCTTGTACATGTTCCTTTTACATCCATGTTCTCATGTGTTTATTTTTCCTCTGTGGTGAGATTTAAAATCTACTCTTTTAGCAAGTTCCAAGTATACAGTACAGCATTATTAACTATAGTCACCATGCTGTATGTTAGGTTCCCAGAATTTATTTATCTTATAACTGAAAGCTTGAAACCTTTGACTAGCAGCTCTCCATTTCCCTCCCAAGCCCTGGTAACCACAATCTTACTTTGTTTCTATGACTTGGACTTTTTTTTTTAAGATTCCACACGTAAGTGAGATCATATGGCATTTGTCTTCCTCTGGCTTATTTCACTGAGCATAATGTTCTCCAGCTCTATCCATGGTGTCACAACTGGCAGGATGTCCTTCTTTCTCATGGCTGCATAATATTCCATTATGTAGATGTACTACATCTTTGTCCATTCATGTGTTCTTGGGATCGGTTAAAATGCAGATTATGACTCATTTGTTGTGGGGACAAGAGTCAGAATTTCCAGCACCTCCTAGATGCTCCTGGCCCTGCTGGCCTAGGGCCCACACTCAGAGTAGCAGGGAGATTGAACCTGGTGCTATTTTCTTAGATTCTGAGGACCTTGTTCAACTGTTTAAATTACAATTTAATTGTCTGCTATTAAGGATATGCAGAACAGTCTATTGCTGGGGAGAGCATCTCATAGAGATACCTCAAGATTACAGGTAAGACAACTTTTCAGGACCTCCAAGAAACACCAAGAATCTCTCAAGTCACATAGTCTTTTGGGGTATGATTTGGTTTTGTTCTCAGCACTTTCCTCCAGACAAAGGGAGGGAAATAAAGTGAAAGAATAACACCTTCACATCTTCCTGGCAGAGAGCCTGGCCGGTGGACCAGCAGCACGTCTCTATACTGGGGTAAGGGGCCCACGGTTATTGAGAGCATGACGCAGAGTGTTGTTTCTGACGTTTTGCTGTGTTACCCCAGCGTCATTTTAAGCCACATGATTCTATTGATTCTACTACCCTGTTCTCTTCCTGAACAATGCGCATTACCATCAAATTTAGTGATTTCTATTAGTAATATTTCAGTTCCTTCATAAAGTTTAAATTGTATGTTCAAACCTGCCAGTCCATTTCTATCATCTGAACAAGATGTCAAGCTAACTCTCTCTATGCCCCTAAATAACACCACAGAAGAAAAATGAGGTTAGTACAAAACACCAACCCGTACTTGCAGCAGTACCATGGCTACATTTGGTGTAGTCACAGGGACTCAGTGATACTTTCTGGACATACTGGAATCTTGGGTTTTGTGCAGTGATGTGGGGTGCGCCTTCAGACTGACCCCCAAGATGGGTGGTCTCTCCTCACCATCTGATCACTGAGCATGCTATCTTAGGAAGGCTTGGGAAAGGCCTGAGCTGCTCTGTTTCTATGGGTAAATGCTTTCCTTCAAGTTCTTTCCTTAATGGGATACAAGGAAAGAACACAACAAAAAACTACACTAACGTCAATCAGCAAACACGCACACCCTTTCACATGTGCCACTGGTGATGGTGTGAATATGCTTCATCTTATCTGCAAGCATGCATTGGCTCTGACCTTCTGGACAGAGCATTGTCCAGTGTACTGTGAGATGTACAGACACACAGCCATGGCACTGCCCTCATGAACTTCACAATTGATAAAGACATCCTCTCACTGCAGGACACCCAGCCATTGCATGTAGCCAGTGGAAACTGTGACAAACATCCAACAGGAGCAGTAGATCATTCTGGACTGTAGTGTCTGGGGGCAGGGAGGATCTGGATGGGCAGAAAGGAAAAGGCTTCCCATGTAAAAGCATGTCACAGTTGAGTCTGGGGATCAGGAAAGCTCACAGCTTGGACAGTGAGGCCATTTAGCAGAAGTACAGACTCTGTTAAGCGTAAGTGGGGATGAGGCTGAAAGGCTGGTCTCAACCCCAAGGTTGAGACTAACGAGTTGGACCTTTATCTTTTGGTCACAGAGCGACAACACAGAGTACTGAGGTGATGAGGGTAGATTCTGGAAAACGAACTGGCAGAGCTCTGTAGACTGAGTGAAGAGGTATCTTCAGTATTGAGCAGAGCAATGAATTGCAAAATTTCAATGAACTGAGGTCCTAAACAGAGAGACTGTGGTTCTAAAGTGAAAGACAAGGGGCCAAAAAAATTAGGAAATGATGGCAATAATACCTGGGAGGGAAAGGAAGAGATGTTAGGTTTTAAAACTGACTAAACTGATTACAATTCTTTGCTGAGTACTGATTCCCTCGAGAGATGCTCAGAGTGGGAATGGGTCTGACAGTCCATCTCAGGAGGTGGACCTCTCGAGCTCTTTAGCTGACACACTCAGGTGGTAGGATGAGTGCCAGACATGTGGACTGGCCTCAGTCCTGCTAAACCAGCCACTTACTGCCAGCCTGCACCTCAGCAGCAGACAGCGCAGGAGGATGGAGGAAGCTTGAACAGCCATACACAACTGTGGACCACAGGCGATACATCCAAGGTCGTTATGAGGAAGCAATTTTAACCACCCCCTCATCTTAAGAACCAAGAAAAGATTTTGAATTAAGTGCTGGAATCAGATGTTTAACGATCAAGACATTACTAGTAAGCAAAGAAACCAAATCTAATATCCAGCTCTAAATGCTTATTTCCTATTAGGGATAATTAATCTAATGCACTTTCTCAACCTAGTTCTAATTTGTTAGCATAACTTTGGAGACGCCTTACTGTAGGGAAGAAAATAAGACGGGACATTGAGAAGAATAAGCTCTAAATACAAGCCAGCCTGTTAACTGAACAAAATA